ATTGAGCGGACTTAGAAAGCGCGACTTAGAAGTGCTCTTTCGAGACAGTAAGGATCTTGGGAGGTTCTTCTTGTGAGGAAAGTAGCCACGTGAGGAACTCCATAAAAGCAGAAGCTAGATAGGAGGTGGTACGAAATGTGAAACAGTTCATGATAAGGTATGCCTTTTAAGAACACCTTTTTAAACCTGGTTTGATCACAAGTGGAAGACTTTGTCCTACAAGGACTTCTTTTGGAGGCTCTTTAGCCCGCAGGCGCGGGATCTGCATGGGTGGATCGGAAGCTGTTACTGTAGAGATTGATCGCGTTCGCTCTGCCGCCAGGTGGGCCGAAAATCTGGAGACCAAAAGTCTCCAGGCATCACTGGCCAAGACAGATCACGGGACGCTTCAGCTAGTTGCCCCGCCTGGGCCGTTGTCCCCCCTGGCTTATTGAGCCGTGGCGGACCGAGAGCCAGCCGGCCGACTGGCTACCAACTGATTTCTCGAGAGGCTTGTGAATCGTCAAATGAAAGACGGGCGTCAGTGGGAAGACGGGCGTCAGTGGGAAGACGGGCGTCAGTGGGAAGACGGGCGTCAGTGGGAAGACGGGACTTCGCGTCGAATGAAGGACTTGCGTCAGGACTAATGCATTGGGTGCGTGAACCCTGAAGCACTAGCGCCTTCAGCGCGGCGCTAGTTTCATATTACGCATCTCTATTGGATGACACCGGACGCCCCATTTCAGCGCTTCAGCACCCTGCCAGACAGACCTTCAGCCTCAGAAGGCCAGCAATCAAGTGTTGGAGATAAGATCAATGAAGCAAGTCCATCCAAGGAACAAGTCCATCCAAGGAACAAGTCCATCCAAGGAACAAGTCCATCCTAGGGACAAGGACATCCTAGAAACAAGTATATCTCTATCTCAGGATTTGGAATGGTCTGTAGACCTGCAGAGCCGTAACAATGTGGGCAGACGACTGTCTGCGTCTTGCACCCATGGTAGGCGCCAGTTGGCGGTCCTCCCTCCGTGGTGGTCGTACGACCGCCGCCCTGCGACCAGCCTGGTCTGAAGCACAGGGTCTGGTGTTCTTAGAGCTATGTCATTACGCCTCCGCACCCGATCCTGTTACGCTGGCCCTCTGCTCCCGATTTTACGACGCGGGTCACTAGTATCTGGGCCTACTACCTTGGGCCTCTGTTTCAACCCCTCCGGCCTTCTAGGTAGCCAGGCCACGAACGTATGTCTGATTGGGGCTTATGTGCCCGGTCAGATCTCCTGTATGAGCTGCAGGCCAGATTGGTCGTGTGGCTTGCGTCGTAGGGGCTACCCTGTCCCGATCTATGGACCAGGGAGGCTTAACATGTATCACACAGGACGAGAATGTATGATGCCAGCTTCATAGAACCATATATACTACGGATTTTTAAGAACCCCATAACTAATATCCAGATTCAGATTCCTGTACAATACCTAGGCTCCCCGATCCAGTAATTTTTATGTCGATATATCTGAAGACAATCCAATCTGAAAAGCCAAGATATCCAGCTTGACGCCTCGTGGGCCTGCATATCTCACTGCAGAACCAGATAGTTTCGCAGCAAAATAACAGACGTTCATACATAAAATGGAATTCTATTTGCGGATTATTGCCTATTTGACCTATTTCTCCTCCTTCGAAGCCTGATCGTCGAACGGTGGCAACCATCCAATCGGTTTTAGAACACTAATTCCATCAGTGCCGTGGCCCTAGCCAGTGCCGTGACCCTTAGTCAGGNCCCTGGGGCATCCTTTCTTTGCCCTGGGGCATCCTTTCTTTGCCCTGGGGCATCCTTTCTTTGCCCTGGGGCATCCTTTCTTTGCCCTGGGGCATTCCTGCTTTCCCGAGGTAATCTAACTGAAAACTGAAAGTATGTCCCTACAGTACTTGTTCACTTGTCTTTGAATTGCCTTTCCTTGCGACCCCCCAACCTGGAAGTTTCATTGAACTCATTATGTACAGAGATATCAACAAGAGCAAGGCCTCAACTCGGCAGTGATCCAAACAAAACCGTTATCCTATCTTAGAATAGGAAAAGAATTATGAAAAAAATCTCTGCACCACAGACAAAATTAAGCTATTTAGCCGAAGAATCCACACATTTAGGCTGCTCAGAACTTGATGCTGACAAAGTTTGGCATCTTAAGCTACTAAATTCCTTGTCAGTTACTTGACTTGGTGTTGGATAATATGATGCCTAGACAAATTAGCTCTAGGACTGGACGCGCGCCCAAGAAGTATACCAATTGTAGCCCCACAAATGCCCAAAATCCTGAGGAATCAGCCGAAAAGATGTGTACTCGGCCAGTCTCCCGGATACGTATGCCCAAGCAGACATCGGCGCCGCACATGTTGCTGTACTCAAAAGATTTCCTCATAAGACAATGTTTGCGACGGTCACGCTTCTGGCGAATCAACTTCTTGCTTGCTCTTAAGCGCTTTGATACTTTCTGGTTAACTGCATCCATGTTATTTGGAGGAGGTAGAGTAAGAGTCTCTTGAATCTTCATGGACCACATTAGTGCTTGAATGAAAGGCCAAACTTATTATATACGGGACACAACAAATTCACAAATGCGCAAAGGACCATAATATAATAATGCTAGCGCCAATGGATACGTGCATCAAGACTATTGGACTCAAGCGCCCCANGATGGTCTGCAGTCCGAGGTTGTCTCCAGTCATAAGTGGTCTGCAGTCCGACCCGTCTGCGCTATGAGTATGTGAGTACTGTGGAGGGGATAGCCGGTAATTTGATATTCCGTTCCGGTCGCGCGGATTTCCTAGGAAATTGCCGCGTCATCAGTAGGCGGTCAGGTAGGCGTCACCCTGTGTCAGCAATGAGTTTTGACCGCCTGTTGATGGTCGCGATCGAATTCTGGGAAGCCAACGCGCCTGGTAGTGATAAAACTCCTTGACTAACTGCTGAATCCATGTCCAAGGACATTGACACCCCGTGCGCACTACGTCTTATCTTCCTGTCTCCCACGTGCAGTCATGAAGCTCAACAAGTCTACAAAGCTTAATCCAGAGGCTCACTTGATATATGCGCTTCGCCTGTGCACCAAACTACTCGCCAAACATCCAGATCTAAGGCTCAGCAACAGAGTTATCAACATTATTAACGAAATAGATGGCTTATGTAAAGATAATCGCCAACGCGGGTTAGCGAATCGCAAGCGAAAACAGAAAGATCCTGCTTACCGGCCTACGAAGCCGTTTAAACGCGTACGCTTGGCGCCTGCAGCTCAACGTGTTGACTTGGATGCTTCTCGCGGCCCGGCAAAATTCTGCAATAATACCTCTCGCGATCAAACCTGTCCTGAAACCTTTCCACGAACCTCCGGCGATTCAACCTCTGACGGCCCTGCAACATCCTGTGATGCTACTACTTATGGTACCTCCGGTGCGACAATCGATCCCGCTAGAACTTCGCCTGAAACGTTCGGTCATCCATCAACAACCAGCCATTTAGCCTCACATGGCGCAATCAGTCAACTACAAGAAACCGCAAGTGAACCCTCTTGCGATGTGACGATTCAGTCCCATGCAACCTCTCTGGAAGCCTCGAACTCCTCCCGTAGAGACGGCTGCGAGACCTCTCGCGAGCAAGCAGCTATTTTGCACGCAGTCTCTCGAGAATCAATGGTCGCCCCACAAGAACCTGCTTCCGAAACTTCTTTCGACTCACTAACACGCTCTCTTGAACCCTCCCACGACGCCTCAACAGACGATGAAAACACCTCCTGCGCTCACCCAATCACGGTAGCAATGGCGATTGATATAATCCACCAGTTCAGCCAGAAGCTTTACGAACCTCCCCAGCATATCTATGCAGAGATAGTACGATCGGTTCAGGAGGACCTTCAAATTCAATGGTCCGATGACAGATCATGGAGGGATATCATTGAGAAGTCTTTTTTCAAGGCTCATAGATACGTAATCTTCAACCTTCTTGAGTACATTGGGGCTTCGGAATGGTTTGATAAGCAGGTATAAATCGCCCAAGAGTCCACCCTCACAAAAAAGCATCAGCCAATCAAAAATAGTACTGCTGCTGGCAAGGTCATGGATAACATCTGGGAGCGATGCAACCCACGTCTGAATAATGTTTCAAGCAGGTTACAGAAATCTCAGCGGCAGCGTATATGGCTCCAACTTCACAGGGGAAGGGAGCTGCGTAGCAGACTTGCTAAGCGTCTCGGCCTTGGAATTCTTTTTAGTCCAAGAATTTGGTAGGTAATCGGTCTTTCAGATTATATCAGACTGCTAATAAAAAACAGGGACCTCCTTAAATTGCCTTGCGATAAACTTGACAGCACGATCAATCTTATTCTTGCAGTCCCCGAGCAGATGACACTGCTTAAACTCCTGAGCAAACAACTGGAGTACTTGGTCAATACTGGGTCTACAGATCTCCAAACCTTTTGCAATGGCCTGAAAGAGCACCACCTCGTACCAGAGCAGGAAATTAAGGACTTACTGGTAACTCTGCTAACAGACAGGGGGAACAGTTAGTGCCATTCCCTAGACATTATAACCTTATCTAAGTTTTTTTCAGACGCACAGACACAAACCGAAAACATAGAAAGCTTGCATGACAGCAGCCAGGCAGGCCTAGCATCAGGCGACCATGTTGTTGCTTCCCAGCGCCAATTCCCACATGCAATTGAACCCGACTTCAAGGTTTTCAAAGACAATGACAACTCAAGTATCATGTAAGCATAATCCTCACTCGCCTTTCTTAGCTAACTTATTCTAGCGGGTTCGAATTTGAGAACGTCAACATTATATCAGAGGACATCTCCGATGTGAACCAGAATCTCAGGACTATGCAAGAAAATACCGCAGCTGCCAAAGAAAACATACCACATGTTAGCAGGGAAATTCACTGGCTCACAATTAGTCATATCAGGCTGTTCTGTCTCTATCTGAGACTGAACCTCTCGCGAAGAGACCGTTCTGGAGAGATTTATTTCTTCTGCCCTCTTACAGTGAACGAGCTTGAGGAAGGCTGGGAATTAATTCTTGACTCCGAAGGCCCACAGAGTGATAAGAACCATATTCTCGCCGCGCATTACCTCGTTTTTCCTATCGTGACTAATGAAAACGATCATTGGTTTACAGTTATCGTGTCAAGCCCCGGTGGGCTTGCCAGTGGGCAGACGCCTACAGTGTATATTCTGGACTCTTCCTGGTTTGAGTGGAAGAAGAAGCTCTACCAGCCTATAAAACAGGTTATTATTGGAGCTATGGGTAGTATAAACGCAACCCAGAGGGGCACAATTCGGTTTTATGAAGCCACAGAAGGGACGCTTCCCCAACAGTCTAAGCAGTTATGCGGCTACTACCTGATGTTATACTTGGAGCTTCTGGCCGCTGATCCGGATGCTCTACTAACAAGGGTGAGGGATTTCAACACCGCTAAAACCAGGATGGATTATCTATTTGAGCCTGGGAAGATGGACGGCGAACTAGTTGAGCGAATTGCGGAGCTGATTAAAGAGTTACAGCATGCTGAACAGAAGCAGGGCCGCCTGGTTACCGAATCTGGTCGTCCGATGTTTGATGGTGATCTAGGGTACCTGGCACGCGGTGTGAGCTTAGCTTGATCAGGAGTTCGTTTCATAGTAATATCAAGCGAGTTACCTATGAAAGTAATGAATGTGGCGAATCAACTTCCTTGCTTGGTCTCAACGTTTTGATACTTGGTTGGAGTAGGTGGAGTCTTAGCAAGAGTTTCTAGACTCTGTCTTCATGGACGGACCATATTAGTGCTTGAACAAGGCCTAACTTATATACAGGACATGGTATCAGATTTATGTATGTGCAAAGGACCATAATATAGCGATGTTAGCGCCACTCGCCCACACGGCCCCAATAAGGCAAGCTCAGATCAAGGGGATTAAGGCAGGGTCTCAGGATAAAGAGGGGTGAGGAAAAGCAGTGCGAAGAAGATGACTTGTAGGTTAGTGCCCTAGTCGTGCTTCCACTGCGGTGCTAAGGGCTCATTAATGACTTACCCAGATTAGCGGTCCGCAGTATTGTGCCCGAGGGTATCAAAGCCTCGCGGATTTTCTCTGGCATTTTGGTTCGTCAGCAATTAATCGCTGCGCAGCGACAGATTTGCTTACTCTGCTCAGTGTGTGACCTAGCTTGAGAGCGTGACTCTACGCATGAAATAATTTTGAAAAAGGCTCATTCCTTGATCCTGTAAGCTTATCTATGACGAAATTATTAATGGCGGCCTGGCAGGCGCAAAGCACGATGATGGCCCACAGAGCGGCCTCGCGTTTCTTGCAACCCCGCCGCCGAAAACGCAGCGCCAAGCCATCTACGGCATTGCAGATTTACAGCTCACAGAGGCTGAAAGGCGCCCCGGAGTTCATTTGCTGCTTGTGTTGTCTGAGCCGTCGTGAAATATAGCCTTGTCTTACCCTCCATATCCTTTTCCGGATTTACATCGTGTACTGGCTTCCTAGTTCTTACATGGATGTCTAATAATTAACCAATAAGCATTTGGTTTACAATGGTAATCGAAAAGGCGAAGCTATGCTGAGAAATGCGTAGCCGGTCAGCCACTCCACCACTGGGACCCTGCGCTCCTAGAGGGGGATTAGAGAGAGAAAGAAATCGAAATCAACCAGGGCTGGTCAGCGCCAGTCATGAGACTCAGGTCGGAGATAACCCATATTTAGTTGAACCTCTTAAGATTACGCCCGCCCGCGTGATGCGAAACTGTGCTGGAGTGTGCGAATTGAGGCTCAATCAGAAGAAAAGCCAGCCTATCATTGGCCTATCTGTAAGAACGGAAAAAATCAGGCATCGAAATGGCAGAATGGGGCGCATGGCAGCTACTTCGAAGGTTGCACGACCATAAATGTGGACGGCGAGGCTACCGAAACGAGGATGTTTAAAAGCACGAGTGTTCACATTCAGTCCTATATCTCTGGCAATTTCTCTACCTTTCTTTCAGACATATAAGCTCCACCAGCCATTCTATGGAGCTTATAAAGTGTTGTCTTGGTAGGAGGAAGGGCGAGAGGCCCCTCCCCACCTTTCCCGGAATCGAGAAACGTCCAGCTGGTATGCCTCTATAAGCGCTAAAGTTTCTCTATGCTGACGATATTGTACTATAGTTCATGAAACAAGTTTGTATGATGAGAATTGTTTCAGCTCAACTCGTCATAAACGTTTCCCTCCGGCCAACAAAAATCAACCAACTTTCGTTCTGGAGCCTCAGTTCACAGCACTACGACCTCAGGCCGATATCTTGCTACCAGATCTGGCAGGACCAGCCCTATCCAGTAGCCTTGCCAGTCCCTTATGCAAGAGATGTGGAAATCCAACAATCCTCAAAAATGCCAAACTGTGGAATCAAAACGGGAACAGTGGACGACCTTTTTATTCGTGTGGAAAATGCGGGAAATTCCGTAGCTGGGCAGATGGAAAAGGGATCTCCGATCAGAATCCACGTTGCCTGTGTGACAAACCCAGCAGGCGGGGGCAAAGCAGCAGAGAAAAGCAGCGCAGAGGATTCTTTAATTGTGCTACAGGTGACTGTACCTTTTTTGTGGAAGCGCTTGTCGAGGTTCCTGTCCCTTCTATGCCTGAGCTTCAGGATGGAGCATGACTATAGTAAAATCCTCCTCGCCGGTTGATACTCTATTTAGGGAGTTTACCTCTAGTACAGTATATCTCGGGAAAGCCTCGTGATCTACGGCCCATGTCTTACTTAATACAAGTAACTTGCAGCAGTATCCTTCCTATGTCTATATTTCACCGCTAGCTCTCTCCACGTTACTCTCAAAGGTATAGTGTAAGTAGTGAAGTAGCTTTACACAATAATCTTAGCAAGGCAACTTTAGAGATAATATTCAATCAGTCCTACAGAGAAGGAAGCCATCTGTCGTGCAAGTAAATCAAGTAGATCTGGTGCTATGTATAAATTGTATTTAGTTAAATACACAAGATTAGAGATTGACGATGCCCGAGCAGGAATAGAATACATTATACTATGTTTCCGTCCAAAGACACGCTTTGGGATAGTGGGCGTTTAGCAGGCAAGGCAAAGGCAAAGGCAAAGAAAGGATGCCCCAAGGCAGCCTTCGCTGCCTTGGGGCATCCTTTCTTTGCCCTGGGGCATCCTTTCTTTGCCCTGGGGCATCCTTTCTTTGCCCTGGGGCANACACTGGAACCACAAGAATGAACCGCAAGAACACTCACATGGTCGCCTGGCGCTAAGTTTAGCTAACTTAATCGCCATGTCTCACAACGGGTGACTCATTGGTCCCACCCCTGTCAGGGTCAAAGCTATCGCCCACTTTCCGAGAGACTTCGCCTTTCTCTTCCAAAATCTTTCTTCCAACGTACTCGGGGGATTTTTAGAGAGAACATATTACTGTACTTGGAAATCTAATTTGATTTCGTATGGAATAGATTCCGTACACGAAGCTCTATACTACACTGTAGACTAATTATCTATACTAGCATCGATTTACAATAAAATAAAGCTCACTTGCGTAGATCGCCCTCGCAAACAAATATCTTGCCACCCTTGCCCAAACCCACTTTCCTCGTGGCCTGAAATGCGGCCAATGAATTTGATTTCCCACCGCATCTTACGAGACATATCGGCTTTCTCTATTCAAGGATCATATTTCGCGGCCAGCTCTTGCCAGGTTACCTTTAATGGTACAGGGTAGTAAACTGCCTAAGCACCGTTAGCATAGCAAGGCAGCTTTGGAGATGATACTTACCAAGTCTTGTGGTGACGGATGCCACTGATCATCCGAGTTGAACATAAAAATCTGGCCATTATTTCTCAGCCGAACCGTCAATGAGACATCTGCGTCACATTCTTGACAGAACTCAAACGCTTTGCGGAACAAGGTGTCTCCTCGTCGATTATATTGTTGACGCTTTGCCTTTTTTTGATTAGACATGCGGCGACGGATTATTCTTGGGGTAGCCGATTTCGCCATGAGGAAACCGTTAAAAGTTCTTAATGATGAACTAGGCAGTAGAAGGTACGTATCTTTGATCCCTTAGTCCAGGGAAACATGGGTCCTTATATATATTGTTGTACTCACCCCAGAGGGTGAGTCGCTCACCCTTTGAAGGTGAGCAAATCACCCCCGAAAGTGAGTGTTGGTTGATGAACTTATATTGATATAATGTTGAATTTATATCTGACTTGAAGAGTTATATTCTACAGGAGCGAGTTCCATTATAGTTATATATCTGTTCCCAAACCATGCCATAAGGTTCAGCCACCGCAATGCCTAACATATTAAAAGACGGGGAGAACGGGCAGCGTTCCACCTTTTATATAAGCGGCCGAGATCTGTGGTGAACAGCTGCCAACGGGCCGGACCGCGAGTTATTCCGTGATCCAGGCCGCTTCGCGCACGTGCGCGCGCGACTGAGTGAGAAGGGGTGAGTCGCTCACCCTGTTAGGGTGAGCGACTCACCCCTGGGAACCTTGAATACCCACAATTTGGCCTTCTGAGATCGGGGACTGGCGCGTGACTTGAAACGCCGGTTCTGGCCAAATCTTGCTGCCTATCAGGTCCCCACCCAGGCCAAATACGGGTTGTCATTGGTCGAATGTATTCCAAATATGAAGGCGTGACAGGAAGTAGTCCACAGGTCGCGATGGCACGATAAACCTTTATGAATTTCGGGGCAGAGCTTGCGATAGACGAAGACACAATGAGGTCGATCGCACGCGAAGTGGAAGACTTAGTAACATTGGGGTGGTCGGCAGGCCAGACGGGCCGCAACCATGTAGGCGGACGACTGAATAAGGTCGCTGCAAACCCAAACAGTTTCGCAGGGAGGTTGAAAGTAGCTTAGTCCTCGTCTCCAGTCGTAGATGGTCTCCAGTCGTAGATGGTCTCCGGTCGTAGATGGTCTGCAGTCATAAGTGGTCTCTAGTCATATATGGTCTGCAGTCATAGATGGTCTGCAGTCCGAGGTTGNACGACAGTTCCACATAGTTATTCTTTCCAATACGCCTTTTGATGCCGTGCCCCGCTTGTTGTTAGACTGTTCAACATAGTAGGACGGATTAATTACTGTTGAATTTTGGATCGTACTCACGACGACTCACAATTACGGATGGGTGATATCTAGCTGAGGTCAGCTGCTCACGACTACCGACATCTATATTTTCTAGGACCGCTCCCATAAGGTTCTGGAACAGTCTTCACTCATGGAGGGGTTCATCCCCCACATTCCGCTACCTCGACTCGCCTTGTCAGTTTTGAGAGTAACCAAGTCGGGAGGAGTGGTGATCATTGCGCTAGTCCTGCGTTCATCAGTGGTCCCATCGCAGGGTGAAAGTCGTCAAATCCTGAGCACGTGGTTACGGTTTAGTATGTTTCAGTACCCTGTTGGTGTAAATAAACTCGAGAAAGCAAGAATGGGTGGGAAAGGGCAATTCTTGCAGGACAGCATGGATTATCTATTTGAGCCTGGGAAGATGGACAGCGAACTAGTTGAGAAGTGTCGAAGCCGATAGTCCAGGATGGCGGAGATGATGGTCAGGGCTAGGCGGACGCCGACCAACTGTTGTACTCGGTGGCTTAGTCTGGAGGATGTTCTTGGTCCTAAGGGTGCTGCCTCGTTGCAGACCATGATTCCCATCGGGTGAGCTAAGACCTAATGGAGCCTGATGCCAGGCGACTTGATACTGTAAGGTCTTATTGGGATGAGTGTTAATTGCAGGACAATCACTCTGGACCTGAATCTAGAGATCTTTGGTAGCAATCGCCTCATTCGCTTCTGGCTGGCCAACTTGCTAAGGTGGAAAAGGATGAATATCGTGACTGGGGGCGGGGCACACAGGANTGGGATTAGGGATTATTACCCAGTCCATAGCCTGGACTGATTGGTATGCAGATTCCCAGGCGAAGGGATAAAACTCGCTGAGCTTGTCTCGCTGGCCTGGCTGAATAAGGTGAGGCTTCCCAAGCATCTCAGCCCTTGTAACAACCCGCGAGGTTGCAATTAGGCCCATAGCAAAGCCAGTTCCATTGAAGTTATAGATTTCTTTATCCTATATGCCGTTCTCCTTGCGCAAGGCCTCTAAAGTCTCAAACCACTGCTTTATGACCTTAGGATCCTCGCAGAGGGCGCGCTGATAGTTGTACTTGCGCGCGAATCGACTTTTAATGCTTTCATGGCGCTTAATAAACTTGGTAACCCAGTTCTTCCCAAGCGGCTTTGGGGGGGTTGATAATTCTGCTTGGAGAAGAGGATAGGCCATTTGTTACACATGTGAGACTCTTGGAGCAACTCCACGTCGATCTCTAGATAGAATCCACTCTACTAGAGCTTCTTCCTGAGTTATAGAGAGCTGGAGGTTGTGGTGGCGAAGTTCTTGTTGAAATTCATGTCCCTGGATGCGATCGCGGAGTGTTGAATAAGGTATATTAAAAACCTCTGTTGCTCGACGAATACTTGGAATTTCGTGCTTTTTTAAAGCTTGTATTGCAAGTTGGATCCTCCCCTCTTGCTCAGCTAAGTTTGGGCGAGATTGACGCGGTTTTCGTGGCATGGTTGTTGGTTGAATAATTACGCGTTGAACGCGCGATGATTTTTTGGTGGTTGATCGGATCAACGGGGGTGAGCGGATCACCAGGGAATTACGTTACTTAATACATGCATTGGTCATCTTCTAATCTAGAACGTGGTAGACACGACGTAACCTGAAAAGCCTCGCTCCCAGGGGGGTCTTTCTTTGGTCCCTGTTTCATCTGGCTAATTAATATTAGACCAGCCTCCAAGTAACGTAATGCCCGACCGAAGCGCTCACCCCATCGATGTTGAGCACACTTAGTAAATTTGATGCTATCGCCAATAGCCAAAACCTTTATTATCCTTTGCCCCGCGCAATAACATTCTTGATATGATCGATGAGCTAATTCGTGCCTACAATGATAGGCCCTGGAGCCATTCTGTGAGCTATCTCTGCCTCTAATCCTTGTGACAAGAAAACCGCGAAACGAATTGTTTGCTCCAGGTGCAGACGATATGTAAGATAGAAAACCAACAACAGCAGGCCCTTTTTACTGGATGCTATTGTCAGGGCTTTACCACTCAAAAAGTAAAAAGCAGTATTAGGCGCTTCTTATCAAAGAGGATTCCTGTTTGGTTCATTTCCTTGCTTCTCCCTTCAAACACTTTCGGCGCTGGTCCCCGATAGAGCTCATAATCTCACGTGGCCGAGCGTCTAGAATTTGAGCCTCGATAAACTTCCCCAGCTTCAGGGCATCCTTCTTCCATAAGCTGTGCTCAATGGTTTGGTAGACAGCAGTCATAGTCTGCAGTACGCCTTGATTATTGAAGGTTTCCCAAGTAAAGCAGAGCGCATCTAGCTGAACGGAATACGAACAAGTCCCTGGACTATTTGATGCTGTTGGAGATACAACTGAACCTCGGCGACCTTTTCTACGTTGCATTGCCCGTTACCAGGTCAGTAAAGGCCTGTGAACTATACGCCTTTAACTGATCTGGGTAGAATCCGATCGTCCCCAGCCGCAGGTCAATGACACTTGTGTCGGGCAGAAGCATTGCGTGGGGCCGGGACGTGATGATAACATTGGGTCGATTCTAGAAGCTCCTTAAAAAAAGGAGCATGTTGCCATCTAGGTCTTGAGACACTTCGTCGAGGCCATCAAGGATAAACAATGTCCTTTCACTCCTCGTAATCTCCAAAGTACTCCACAGTGCTTTGGCGAGATCTTTGCCTTTTGGATGTTGAGAGAAATTCTCATCAATTAATAAGGAACCAAAGTTGTATGTAAGGGACCGACGTCGCTCCACTGTAGGACCTGCTACTATCCTGTCCTGGTCTTCTGGAGGTGGGGACCTGCTTTGCCTGTCAATCTGGTTGAAAACTATTTCCTCCTAAGCAGGCAGAAGTAAAGACTGTAAATCATATCTCCGGGTTGATAGTATCGCGCAGAGCCATTTGTTGCAACTGCATCTCCTGGATTTGAAGATCATTTAAAAACTTTCTAGCCTCGTCCTAAGCTGTGGTCCCCAAGACATCCTGAATGGTAGCGTTTGCTCCCCTTTGAATAAGGTATTCTAAGACGACTTTTTGGCTAAAACGAGCGGCCATGGATATTATTTTGATTCGAATTATAGTCGGTGGTTGGTGAGTTTTCCACACCTTCAAGTTGATTTTAGGGGAGGGTGGGGGCTATGTCCATAGTGGAGTAGATGACATGCTAATTTGGTGCTAAACAGGGCAACGACGACCAAATGTTCTGGGGCCTAGCAGCAATAACAGCATCCGAGACCGGGTTCCCCGAGATCCAAGGAAAGCCCACATGGACCTCACTCGCGCGAGCCGTCTTCAACATGCAGATACACCGGTGGGACACGAGTTCCTGCCACGGGGGCATAAACTGGCAAATCCACCTGTGGCAAGAAGGAAACACACTACGCAACGCGATCTCCAACGGCGGACTGTTCCAACTCGCTGCTCGATTAGGCCATTTCACGAAGAACGAGACGTACTTCAAGTTCGCCGAGCAGATCTGGGACTGGTCTGTTAATTCACCGCTCATTCAGCCGGGCCAGGATTGGCTTGTCGCGGACTCGACGTTGGGGGATAATAATTGTGCCGATAGTGATCACATGCAGTGGACGTATAATTATGGGTCGTATCTTGCGGGGTGCGCGTTTATGTATAACTCAGTGAGAGGCCCAGACCGAACCCTGATATCTGCTTCTTTGCATGCTAACAGCATCACAAGACCGGTGAAGAAAAATGGCTCAACGCCACGACGGGACTCCTGGGCCGTCCGGAGAAGCAGTTTTTTCTAGAGGATTATGGAGGGAATGTTATCTCCGAGGAATCCTGCGAGAGACGTCACTCCTGTAACCGGAACATGCTTTGCTTTAAAGGGTGGACTGTCATGTGGATGGCGTATACAGCGATGCTTGTTCCGCAGACACGGGAATCAATTACAGCGAAGCTTTCAGGGATCCGCTGAGGCTATTGGTCGCCGGTGTGATGGGAAAGGTAGAAAGAATCTGTGTGGACTGCGCTGGTATCAGGACACCTGGGATGGGATCATGGGCTTGGAGGTACAGATGGCTGCTCTTGGTGGCATCACCTCTAACCTGATGCTAATGAGCGGTGAGGCTACGCTGACGATTGAGACGAACCGGAACGCTGAAGAACATCATTTGGAGACGTCGAGCGACGAGGACCTTAGGCCGGGTGCACTACCGATTATTACCACGGGGGACCGTGTGGGTGCCTGGATCCTACTGGGAGTTGGAGTCTGGGGATCGCTGCTGCGGCTTGGTGGTTGATTAGGCAAGACTAGTAATCTTACTGTGTGTGAGGTTGTTCAAAAAAAAATGCGCGTATGAATGTCTGTCTCCTTGGTACCTAGTAAAAATAGTAGAGGGCTCACCGACATCGATGTGAGGTTTGACAGCATAGATATACGAGAACTGCCCATAATATATACGCTAATTAGCTTGATCAAGAGTTCATTCCATAATCTTCTTAAGCGAGTTGCCTATAAATGCATAGGATGAGCCAAATCACCTTCTTGCTTGGTCTTAAGCGCTCTGATACTTCTTAGTCGGAGTTAATGGAGTCCAAGGCAAGAGTCTCTTGACTCTTCATGGACCACATCAGTACTTAAATCAAGGCAAAATTATATACAGGAAATATTATTAGATTTACACATCGCCTCGAAACTATGGCTGGTATGTAACAGGTCGCCAGACAACAACGCCCTCCCCTCGGCCAAGAAATTCGCAGACGAGTGAACGAGCTTTGGCACGTGTTTCTGTCGTTTAGGGAAACGGGCCTTGCGAGCCACAAGAAGATTGCCTCGGTTTGTTTCAGCCACTAACGCCAGAGTGACCGATGTCTGGACGAGTCCCTATTAATTAGCTGAAACAGCAACCATCCAGCCAAATCAGGACAAAACCAGTCACTGTGTTCTACCTCTTCCTGTCAGTACCAGAATTCCATACACTTGAGTCAAAGGCTCAAAAGTCAAAAATGGTCCACACCATCGTGACTGGACGCTGTCGCAGCTAATAAGCCACATTGTCCAATGTCCGAGCGCATATGTACGGCTTTGTCATCCACGCTGAGACGGCCTCCCGGCTGGCAAGTCTCACCTTCACGCGTTCATCACGACTTGAAGCTCGCTCGACTTGAAGAAAAGCAGGACCATTATCTTGTCATCACAATTGAGCTTTTAAGGATTACAACCTCGGTATTGAACGTGTGCGCCTGTACATAGCCCCATGTGCAGCGGCTCGAAGGTAATGGACTCTGGGACTACGCCGTCAACACCCCACCTCAGCACCCACTTGAGGACCTCGCCATCGCCCCAGACTCAGCGCATAATGGGTAAAAAAAATCTCCCTAAATCCCATCGTAAGCAGCGGGTCTTGATTTGCCATAATCCAATCGACAAGCTCTCAGCCCCCACCCTCGCCTCCAAATCCCTCGAGATCCAAACCCGCGAAACATTCAACATCCTTATTACCACAACGCTCTTCCCTGCTACGTATGCCGCCTACCGCGGCCGAGTCGATATCGACGTCCCCACATTTATCCGCGAAACGCAAACGGGCCACCATCCCCTCATCGAATGGGGCATACGCGCACTCACCATGTGGTACCTCGCTAAGCAGCACAACGACACAGAAGAGCTAGCGCGGAGCAGATATATATATGGTGGGGTACTGCGCTATCTCGCCACGCTGATTGGCGATCCGCGATGGGTAACCTCGGACGTTACGCTGTCTGCTGCGATTAATCTTGCATTGTTTGAGATGCTCGATGAGGATGAAGAGCGTGCTGGGAACTGGATTATCCATTCGCGGGCGATCAAGCGGTTGATTGAGATCCGTGGACCGCTTGCGCACATGGGGGGGATTGGTCGGACGTTATTATATGTATTTCGGCCGTTTCTTGTTATTGATGCGTTTATTCATCAGGAGCCGTGTGTACTCGATACGCCAAAGTGGAAGGCTGCTAATCGGCGACTGCTCCTTCGAGATGAGCGGATGGGGAGAGCGGGTAGTTTGGTCCGGATTCTGGAGCAGGCGTTTGAGCATATTGCTGCATGTCCCGGGTTGCTCGCGCGAGTTTGTGCCTTATTAGATGGGACCGCGGATGCGGCCCAGAGGGATGCTTTACTGAAAGACCTTTTTCGCATTCGAGCCATCTTGTTGGACCTCGAGCAGCAGCTCCTCTTCATCGCATCCAGCAATACAACTCCATTGACCGGACCCAGGTGCACTACCTTCGTCCCAAAGATCGTGCATCTTAGCGGCGAGGGAATACGGTCGAGCCTTGCTCTTTTGGACCAATTGGTGACTTTGCTTACTCTGAACGATTGCTCCCCTATTCCTCGACAAGTATTCCTTGGAAGTGTGCTGAGTGGCTCTGCGGCGCAGGCGACATTTGGGGAGAACTTCCTGGATCATTTGTCTCTTGGAATGATTTTCAGTCCCCAAATTTTGGTAATGGAATAGATTGACGGCCTTGCTTGGTGATATTGCTGGATGATGCCATGGGAAATCGCAAAATATCTATGGGCGACAAGCATTTGTATGTCGTTGAGTCTTTGCATGGTCGTCAGGTTGATATTCGACGGTACAACGTTCCTTTGGGTCGCCACTATGGCTACTGGTATCGAAGTTACAGCTTAGTGAAGATTAGTACTGTTCATCAACATAAATTCTTCTGGGGAAACTTCTCTTTACATGACGAAAAGCTTTACATAGATTCGTCCAGAGGTGTGAGGCGAGCATCATCAGGTAGAGCTCTGCTTGTGAGTCGCCTGCGCGCCCCACGAACTGAATCATCGGTTCCCCACGTGGGCCTAGGGGAGTAGTTGAAGATGATGAACACTGGCGACATGTTTAGGCCTCCAGCCTCCATCTGACATCATGGCATATGCCTGTGATTGCAAGCATTTACTACTGTGTTATGGAACTGTGTCGGGGTCTTTCAATCAAAGGGATAGCGACGAACAAGTTCTGCGGTGGGGCACTGGCTGAGCTCCCCTGGTAGTATCCCAGGATATTGCCGCTAAACCGTCTCCGAGGAGAGGCTTGTCCACGAAGTAGGGTGGCCGCGCAGGATCTCGCGGAGTTGAGCAATCCGAAGCTGCGACTCTCTGCCTCTCAGTAAGACGGAACATGCATTAAATGCTTAAACCCTGAAGCACTAGCGCCTTCAGGGCGGCGCTTACGAATTTCTGTTGCATAACTATTGCCGAACTTCGTAGCGTACGTAATATTTGGCCCACCACCAGAAGAATGTGAAGGTCTGATTCATTGAATCTAGCAGCGAAGCTCACTAAATGCAAGAGAAATAGGGGTAATCTAATCAACTAAATAAGGAAAGAGAAACGATACGATAAATACTGAGCGGGCGCTGACTAACGGTAAGTTCGGCGTTGAAGCAGAATACTACCGGTCACTAAAGGTCGACACATATCTAGCGCTGACACCCCAATTCAGCGTTTCAGCGCTTATAAAAAAGGCATTGGGCAAGAAATGGTCAGAGCAACCTCTCCATAACACGGCGTACAGGACAGACACTGAAGATCTCGGCTTTATAACCATGCCGCATATGCGAGCACGATGGGGGCTTCTCTTTGAATGACGCAGCGCTGAACACCATTTGAATTCCGGCGGCCAGCCTACACTCGCGCGTCAATGCCCGAGTCGGTGCAATCCGCTCGAGGAATCACCTCACCTGGCAGCGGAATTTCAATACCCAAGGCACCTCCTCCAGCTTTCTCGTGATTATCGACTCTCTATGTCTTTACCGGACGAACCGCGTCAGCCGACAGGGCCAGCAGCCGCTCCGCCTCCGCATCCCAAGATTAAAGAGATGGGAACGCACTACCAAAACGCAACGGGGTGTCTTATCTGGCTTGACGACGCGAACGGGGAGGTCAGAAAGACATGGTGCGAGGAAGTACTCTCCTCAATCTGAGGAAGGAACAATAAAATTGACTTCCAAAGGTGTGAATACACCCTGATCTCGCTCTGCCAGATGGCCACAAATATGGAATGATCAGGCAAGAACAGAGACAAGGATGCCTCTTTCAATATTTAATACTGCCCTCAATTACCCAGGATCGCGTTTTCGCCTTTGTGACCAGAATATTCATTTTAATCAATCCGTGCTCCAGCAACTCCTCCATGGCTGCTTGAGGGGAAGCATATGACTTGATCTTGGCTTTTAGATCATCAAGATCAACCTCTGTTCCATTGTAAAGAATAGCGATTATTGTCTTCCGGACCATGTTGATCTGCTGGGCGTATTTTAGAGCTTCTTCTCGACGTTTGTCTTTTTTTGGATCATAATAGCAAGCAGAGTCTCTTTCTGCACAGCCATCGCACGGAGATGATCCCGAGCACTAGGTTGCTTCGCCTGACAAGAGCTACAGCCACTGTCTGGCGCTTTCGCTGGTTGGCTCTTGGACATCAGCGGAGCAGGTTGTGATGGCTGGAAGAAGCCGTCTTAACGGAGCTTTCGTAGCACGGCTGGCCAGGTGGCTACGAGTCAGCGAGGCAGAAATTTGCCTTATATTAGATTCCCTCAACATTTATTAGGAGAGAAGGTGCGCTTGTGATTTATCAACCGCAACAGAAGTACAAATTAATGAAGGGCAAGTCACGCGTTAATCGCTGCTGAAGCTCGCTCGCCTGGAAGAAAGCAGGACCCTTTTTTCGTCACTACGATGGAGCTGCGGTCAGTCAGGAATCGCCCTAAGTGTCAGCATGAGTTTTGACCGCCTATTGATGGTCACGATCCAGACGCAGTCATGAAGCTCAATAAGTCTACAAAGCTTAATTTAGAGGCTCTCTTAATATATCCGCTTCGCCTGTGCACCAAAATGTTCGCCAAGCATCCAGATCTAAGGCTCAGCATTTATCATTATTAACGAAATAGATCACTTATGCAAAGACCATTGCCAACGTGGGTTAGTGAATCGCATGCGAAGGCTGAAAGATCCCACTTACCGGCCTACGAAGCCATTTAAAGGCAGACAGCTAGTCACAATTAACTCCATATTCCCCTCGCCACACCATCCCTGGTTAATACTTCGAAGCAGGAAAGACAAGGCCTAAGCACACCATCACTTCTGGCCCGACGTACCCTGCTCATGCGGGACAAAAACCCACTGCCCCTGAGCCTGAGCCTGAGCCTGGGCCTGAGCCTGGGCCTGAGCCTGGGCCTGAGCCTGGCCCTGCGTTTGCATCTGGGTTTCCATCTGTTCCGGATGTTGTCCGGGCGAGGGAATAGAACATGCATATGCTAGGATAGTGTTAGCATCTTAGCAAGAAGCAAACTTTCGGTTCCTAGAGAAGGAGGTGGGAAAGGGGTGGTGACCTTGGCCATATCCGGGGTATGACCCAGGAACAAACGCAGAGGGTATAGCTCGTCCTGTGCTGAGAGCATTACTACTAGCGGCGATAGTTGGCTAATGAGGCGACTGCGGAAGCGGATACGCATATGAGGGAGCCATGAAGGGAGGATTATTGGCAGGCATCAAAGCTTGTGTCTGAGCTGTTGATGCAGGAGCAAGAGCTGGAATACTCTATGCAGCTCTTGGGTCTCCCAAAGTCCGCACGGACTTCGTCAGCAGGACGATATAAACTAAGAGGAGCGCATCGAAGCATTTCTGAATAAGTAGCACAAGGTATACCCCGATGGCGGATTGAGTATCGGCAAGGTCGAAAACGATCGTGTCAATTATAATGAAAATGGAGCGGAGGAGAAGGATGATCATGAAGGTATTGTATCGGGACTTGATGCGCTGTGTACACATAGACTGAATTAGCTCGAGTGACTTCCCCTGCTGATGAGGGATTGAAAGCACAAACTTGTAGTCGTAGATCAGTAACATGCACCAACCCAGCCATCCTCGACCTTGAAACACCCAACAAAATGACATTGGAGAATAATTGCAAGAACGGGAATGCCGCGTACGACTCCTCCTCACCCGGACGCCGTTGGTATCGGTGGAAATCTCCAAGGGAATCGCGGGCTTCTGTCTGATTCAGGGCGTGGATGAACATGTGGATGGTGATGGCGATGATCATGAGGCTAAGGAATATACCCTGAATCGCCCGCTCGATGTTCTTGTTCTTGTGCTGCTTGCTCTTGTTTTCTCCCGGCTGTGGAATGAGCATCCTGCGCGTGACTCGGATCGCGCGGGACATGGGGAAGAGCACGACGAATATGAGAAATAGCCATGCGAGATGAAGGAATATGCGGACGGGAATCATTCCAGTCATATAATCAGAGAGTGTCATGTTGCCACATTCATGTGCGCCCCTGTAGATGCTTTCTAGGAGAGAGGAGCTAGAACTGTTAGTCTGCGAATCATGGTACCGATGTCCTGGGCCGTGCTAAGAGGGAACTTGGGAATATAACATACAGAAAGAAGCAGAACAAGCACGCCGCAAACCGGAACCGCAGAAGCATGGGTACGCCTTTGACCTGCCTGCTCTTCACCATGAAGACGAGATGCCATATCGAGATACCGAGATATACTGCTAGAAAAATAGCACTTGTAATCGTGGTCGAGAGACCCCACCAACCCGATTGCGAGCACGCGGAAACGGTGTATTCCGAGGAACCAGAGTCGCCAAAGGAGACGCCGCCTCCACGTCTTGGTGCCATTGAGACGGGAATAGTTAGCAATAAGCAATGTCAGAGCTGGGATACAGGACTACAGGGGAGCAGGAGCCTGCGAGGCTTGAGGGGGCAATGGGCCCTTAAATGACAAAGGGATCAGCAGACAAGCGTACACTATCCATGAGACTGGATGAACATAGCGCAGAGGAAGGAAGCGAGTGCCAAGTATGAACTGATCATCTCTCTTGCGAATGCAACTCTTGGTAACTCGTGTTGGACAGGCTTGGCGCCGAGACGAACCCTCTGCAAGCCATCAGAGCCACAAGAGGCTTGCGGCGGAAAGACGCCGAGATTTTGAATACGAGAGAGGGGGAGTCCCTTGCTTCTGATTCGCTTCCAGGGCAGTCACTCTTTACTCGAATAAGCAAGGTGCCCAATTCCGAAGAGACCCTGAATATTGGCACTGGGGCGCTGTGCGCCTTCATATTCGACTTAACGCAGCTGTCAACGCTCCAACAAAACCCAAATCTGAACATACCTAGAATTTTTCTAGAATAATCAAATAAGAACAAAGGCAAGGACGCCTCTTGTAAGAGTTCTCTTTATTCACTTAGAATTAGGGGTTCACTCCTTGAGGGTGGAGAATGGGAGTATGTTACATAGTCTTTTGAATACGAATCAGCCATATAGTCAACCATCACTTTCAGAGTGCCCGATTATTTCAGGTCCCACCTCTACAACTGAGCGCTATGGCCCAGCGACAATGGCGAGTAGTAGCATATGTCGGGTTCAGGATAGTAGTCAAGCCGAAAGTCAGGTCGAAGTCGTCCCGCAGCGGTTCAGCACCGCACAGGAAGGCTTGAGTATTCAGAAGATGCAGAGTCACAAGACGGAGTTTCTTTGCCCGGTTGGTGCCGTCATAGAGCGGGACCGCTTTGGGAACGAGGTAGAGTTACAGTGCATGAAACATATCTACCAATCGCCTCATGCTGTGGCAGCGGTGTGTTGTCCTCATGGTGTACAGCTGCAGCTTTTGAGCGGGGCAGCCCTTTCTCCCAGCCAAATATTCATAAGCCCATCTAAAGCCAAATTCTGGGTTCTCAACGCAAGCTTTTGATATCCTAAAATCCTACTACCGGCACCCAAATTCAGAATGCCACGCAAGGGACACAAAGCCGCGAAATTGTGGTCGCTTCACCCAAAGCTTCATGACAACGTAGCACAGTTGTTGAACGAGGAAGGGCTTCGACTAGACTTCTTCGGCGCTGATGATGAGGAAACCAACATTGAGGAGCGGGACACAAACGTTATGGGTCGATTCATGTGCCAAAATAGCGGATGTGATTCCAGCGGTTGGTCGAGCAAAAAGATCGCGATTACAATTCGCATGTACCCTCGACAGCAATATAACGCGCGATTGTATCACCAGCGATGCAGAAACTACAGAGCCGTTGGCCGGCTAGTCCTAGATACGGAGTGCTATGCGGAAAGAGTGACATACTGGCTCAAAAAATGGAACGGAATTGAGGTCCAACGGCCTGATTATTCTGGCCAGAGCAGAGGTCCGTACGATAGTGAACTGTGTGAGGGGTGTAAAGTTGGTCATTGTCCCAACTCGAATGAGGATTTAGCATTGGTGCTGGCTAGGTAAGTTTCGGACCAGGAGTTATTATGCAGCATCATCATTTTCCGTGGCGATATTAAATGCGTCCTTGTAAGCTCGAGTAATTGTACCATCCCAGATACCTTCCTTGTCAAAGAGACCAAATATCATTCTCAAGAGATTCAGCGCCGCCACCGGATCTCCGCCACCCAAAAAGACTTCTCCGATGAACCTGTCAATACCTTGAATCTTCATAAGCTGCTCGTCGCTTAGTTCCCGCTTACAAAGCGGCAGCGAACACAGCTCGCATTTGCAGCCGAACTTGGACTTTTCTTTCAGGTGGCGCTGCCGCTCTGCGAACTCGACTGTACTAGCGAGGTAAGAAATGGTTATTTCTTGCCCTACATCTATGTCTCGAAGAGCGTGGATGGTGAGCTTGCCGATATTCTTATTCCAGGTATTCTGAGCATTGTGCCTGCAGAATGGTTGATTCGGGACGCATCGAGAATAGCCCACCAGATGAATCATCTGAGCCCACCAGTGAAAGAATATTGGTTCGAGCAATCCCGAAGGACTTGCCATGAACATCGCCGTAGACGTTGGTGAGGTCGAAGAACGCGGCTTACTGTTCAGCAGAGAGGCGTTGTACTTCATTTTCAACGATACCTTCTAGGCTTCTAATGTTGGAATTGCCTCGAGGTATCCTAAAGACTGGAGCTTCCGATAATAGACGTTCTTTGCTGCAGCTAGTCCATTTCCTTTTCCCGCTATTGACCTGATAACGTGTAATTTGCCCGTCGGTTCACAACATTCTCTTATTCATTCACTTGAATATTCACCTCGTACCCTCGCTAGAGAAATGTCTTCAAAGAGAAATCCAAGGTCGTTATCTTGAGTGGTGCGAAGAAGAAGAAAGTAGGACTTTCTGCAACGGAATTCGCAACACGAGTATCCGTCATCTCATTCTTGCCGTAACGTCTTATCTTCGGATATCTCTCGGTTGCTAATTCTATCGCAGTTGGGTTCGCTGTGGTTCGTTGAAGATGTGGTCGGGGGTTGCTGGCTAGCAAAGGACGAACTTTCACCCTTAGCACTTCAAAAGATGTCCAGGATTGGCAACGAAGAACGCGATTGGGTGTTACGGGACGATAGGAAAGTAAAGAGGTAATAAGCACGCTGCGTTAGATTTTTTGGACATGGATTCAGTAGTTGGTCCTGGAGTTCCTTTTAACTTGCTTCTCCCTGCCGAGTTCGCTCCCAGATCGCGACAATCAACAGGCGGTCAGGACGATACCTGCTTGACCGCCTAAATGATTTGGCAATTTCCTAGGATATAGACCCGACTGGAACGGAGTATCCTAATGCCGGCTGTGGCTTGCTCTGCCATGTGAGTGAATCTCATGACGTCGAATTCGTACTGTTCCTCTTGGAATCTCCTCGCGCTGAAAAAACTCCGGAGGCGTCTTCCTGGAAAAAGCGAGAGTCTTAAGATTTAAAGTAAAGCGGCGCACTGCAAATACGTTCGCCTCTAATCCACAGTCCAGTCTATTCCGCATTGATTTCCCAAGAAATTGCTGCGACGTTGCCCTTCAACACTGATGCATGAGCTTTGACCGCCTTACGATGGTCGTCGGATCTCCCGACGCGACCGGTAATTGCGCCGTAAGAATTCGGAAAGCCTCCTGCATTGGCGGACAATATAATACTTTTTTAAAGTCCATTTGGCATACGATCGCTCTAGAATCCTTTGAAATTGATCGTTCGATCGTCTGTTTAGTAGTGTCAAAGAAAATTCGTGATGCGTTAGTACTCCTCCAGCTTCCTGAAGTGTGGGGTTTTCTTTGTTTGGCTCGCCCCTGGTTTATCTGTACTTTTATAGAGAAGTCTATAAATAACAAGTGCAGCTGCTGATAGAGGTTGAGGGATACTAGAAGAAGAGATAATCGAAACATCTACCTAGCTACCTCGCAGTCTCTTATTATGGCCAACCTTGCGAAAAAAAGCTTACTTACGACCGCTACTCCCAGCCACTGGATCTTGCTCTACTGAGGCCCAAGACCAGCGCCAGCGAAAGCGAAAGCGTCAGACAGTGGCCTGTACCTCTTGCCAATTAAAGCATATTAAGGTGCTTAATTAAATGAATTTTGTCTAAACTTGGCTGATATATAACCTAGTGTTCTGGATCATCCCCGTGCGATGGCTGTGCAAAGAGAAACTCAGCCTGCCATTATGATCCAAGAAAAGACAAACGTCGAAAGGAAGTTTTGAAACACGCCCAGAAAACCAACAAGGCCCTAGAGGCAATAATCACTATTCTTCATGAAGGGAATTCCATGGATCTTGATAAACTGAAAGCCAAGGTCAAGTCATTTGCTTCTCCCAAAGCAGCCATGGAGGAGTTGCTCAAGGATGTATTAATATGAATGGAGCCTTGGGTCATCTACTGCAGGATAGAGAGATGTCCTTGTTTAGTCGTCCTATACTAGCTATTTGATTTCTTATTCGCGGTCAGCTTGCAAAATTACTTCGAACAGTTTGAGATAATAAAGCACTTAGGAACCATTTAATATATTTTGATGGGAACAACGCTTAATATTCTCTATCCGCGGCGAAGCGAATCTGTGTGGAGAGAATTCATGTGACCTCGGCTCGTTCACTGACATGCCTCAGGCACGCACCTCAGAATATAGTTCAAGATTAAGCACGCGAATAATAGGTTCGAAATAGTTATTACAACACTTTTAATCATGAAGGTCCCTAATTCCGCGCCTTTTTTTTAGAAGGTGTCGGGTTTAGTAAGGTGGTAGCTCTCAGCAGAAATTCTCACCAAGATGCACCTGTCACTACAGGCGCCTACTCGGTCCCATTGACCCTGCAAGTCACTAATAATACCCCTGGAACGAGGTAAAAACCAGCATACTGCAGGGCTCGCAGGACACACGAGCTTGTGGTCGCTCGGGTGCTGGCGAGAGTCGGAATTAATGCTCTGGTAGGCATCCATCTTGTCACAAAATCATGTAAGAGAATATATATACACACATGCCCCCGCGAGTGTAAAAAAGTCGCGAATATACCATCGCTTGTTTGTCTTCGGATGAAATGTCCGTCTTCGCCGATTTGAAGATTTTGGCTCTAGGATAACGAATCAAGAGTCCCGCAAGGAACGCTTCTGAAATTGTAATCCTTCCATCCTCCGTCATTTCATGATCGACGCTCGTGGTATTTGACGTAGCGAACCCGAAAATCCTGGCGGGATTTATTGACGCGGCCAGAATTTCGAGCCATTGGCTGGACAAGCTTTGATCGCGTGTTTCCTCTTTCCTGCTTTGACAGCCATGAGATTATTATATCTTCAGGCTGAGAAAAGAACCGACACAATAGTCATCGCCATGGCCGACATGAAATCCTCCCGAACGCAACCCTCGCGAGATGATTATATATACTGCTGAACGGAATGATCTGGTAAATAGTGACCTGGCGTGACCATTATTGTCACATAAGGGTATAGGGATCTCTAAGTAAGAGAATAGACTAACAGTTCAATGAGAGTATCTGAGCTCTTTAATCACCCTCCTGGTACACTTGTATGCCCGCTTCTCCGACTCTGATATCTTCTACTAAGATTCCTCGCCACCCCTTGACCGGTCCGTATCGCCTGTTGCAAAGTCAAAACTAAGCCTACAGCCTTATGGTCTTCAGTGAGCTTGGGATGCCGCTGCGCAAAATATCGACCATATTTGAACAACGCCCAATAGCAACTCCCAACATTGATAAAGCTTATAATGATCTTGTATGGCATCTGCGACCTGAAGTTAGTAGTTCGCGTCGCGGGGTGTCCACAGCGGAGGAGGGGCACCTACATAGTATCCGACAATTGTCCAGGTACTCACACGCTCTTTCTTGAATCTCAGGTGAATCTCGTTGAAAATCATGACCTGAAGTAGGTATAGCCCCAGTATCGCGAACGACATAGCAACGCAGAACCAGGGCTGCACGATGAGCGAGACGGGTAGGATGAACGGGGTCAATAGGTATAGAATCGTCTCGTAGACCTGTGAGTCTGAACTTAAATAGGGACGTACCAGTTAGCGATGGGGAGTTTTCCATACCTCCTACCAAACAAAGATTTTCGTTCCAACTTCCCATCTCCCTAATTTCCAGGACCCGAAGATATACGCGACATTGTGCCACACCCCAGTCGTGGTAAAGAAATTCCACCGTGTAAAGCGCTGCCGAAACACGGTCATCTCACCAAACCCTCCTCTCTCCTTGTTCTTCTCTCTATATAGTAAATTGGATGGTGTACTCGTTTCCACGAACACCGCACTACACATTTTGATCCGGCCACCTAATCTGCGGCATGAGTCACCCAGGAACCAGTCTTCACTTATAGAGAAGCCAGGGTGATGCTCCAGTGTCCTCTGCAAGAATGCGCGATCCCACAGCGAGATTGCCCCATGAGGAAAAGTGGCACTGCCGACCTTTGCCGAGAAACAGCGCTGTAAACCGGCGAGTTTGTACTCGAGGTCTTGTGCTTTCTGGCACCATGTTGCCTCTTAAGTAGTCAGACCTGCCGCTTTGATGGTGTAGCCGATGCATCGCGTTCGATCCGATAGGCGAGAAGCAACGACGATGAAGTTCGGTGGGAGGATACAGTCGTCGTCCATGACAAGCACGGAGCGAAAGCAGTTCACAGCGTAGCACCCGACGAAGAGCGCGACGATTTTCGAACCGACGGGACTCCAGATATGGTTTACCCGGTATTCCCGGCATATGTCCTCGGTGTTATCAAGCGGTGTTGAGGAGTTTCCATTCGCGACTATGTATATGTTCTCTGCTGGAAAGACCTTCATTGCCGCCTCGAGGGTCTTCCCAAGTATAGGCGCGGATCGGTACGTCGGGATCAGGAGTGCAGTGCTGAGGGCTCTAGGATCGATGTTTCATTGCTCGTAATACTCCGGACCTGGTGCGTCGCCCTGGAAGGTGATCAAAAGCGGAGTATAGGCATAGCTAGAAACTCGATTAGTATCCACACCGTTATCGATCTATAGCCCAACCCACAATACTAGAACCGCAATGACAATAGCCCACCCTCCTTGGAAAACGAACTTGTGCCGCATGATCCAGTAGAGCCAGAACGCTGCACCCTCCCAGAGCGGCACGCCGATAAGAAAGAAGTAAACGAAGGCGATGAACAGTGTATAGATGCCGTACTCGATGCAAACCTTAGTCCAGAACCCGCGCTGGTGCTTGATGTCTACTAACCGCGCCATATTGTCGAAGCTTCGCGTTGTATGCATGCTGTCACGGCCCTCTTGGCAAGGTATGTTTTCAGGTCCGGCTGGTTGCCTTATGGCGTCTCTCCAATGAAGTTTCAACGACCGATCAAGCCCTTGAGGAAGGTGAGACGTATTTGAACGCCCGCTTTCATCCACTGTGGCAGGATGACACTCCAGTCCTAACACTGGGTGGATGTCTGATAGTCTAATTCCCTCCCCCAAACCGTCTGTTGTTCGTGGCCATGTCTGGTGCCCTCTTTGGTCTGGTGATGCTTGCATTGCGCCTCTCCATTAACATGCGGGTAGGCGGAAACGTTGATGCCGTACAAGCTTTAGCGATATTTCTCACGGTGTGATGTACCTGCTGAACCACCTAGCGGAGACAACCCTGAGTCCAGCAAACGTTCGTTCTGTGTTTTTTGTGAATACGTAAGGTGTAATGATGACTGTATCTCAGGGATATCCATTGCCAACTAAGTCCTTGTCACCGTTTAATGTACATATTGGGAAGAATTATCCGTCAAAGGCATCCAAGCACTCTTACTTACGGGTTCTGGACTCCAAATCCCGGCGCGGTCTGTACCACCAGAGGTCACATTCTTGCTCTGCCCCTTGCGTGGCTCTTCAACAGTTGACCCGGAAGTGTTATCCACGAATCACGAGCTGACTCTGCCGAAGGGCTAGCAAGTCGTGTGGTTGCATTAGGAATTCCATCGCAAGTTGCTCGAGCGCCCTGTGCAGCACAGGCCAGTATTCGTCACATTCAGTGCTACATGCTTCGTTGTAAATTAGGCAACTTCGTTTCCTGGCCACGATGAATCCAGTCCAGAGGAACTCCGACGGATGTGCCCGGGCCTGTCGCACCTAGCAAGGAGCACGACTTAGACGATTTCGAGCAGCACTAGCTATTTCATGAGTGAAGGTGAGCACCCTTGATCTCGGCCATTGTCGCGTTTGTGCTGTAAGCTCCGCAAAGGTGTTGCCCGTGGGACTGGGCACTTTAAGCATAATATCAAGATCATTGGGCGTTCCAAAGTCACGATGGTACTTCAGATTCTGAAGTCCTCAGGAGTTATCCCAGGATGAAGTCCCACTGTCTCTACTGGTTGGACCGACCATATTGTGGCGTCAGGAAACTTCGGCAGAAGAAGCCCGGAAACGCCAGGTCATTGAGCTACCGCATTTACTAAGACGGCGGTCGTAAATTGCTACGTTCACACCGGTCACCTACTCGTTTGGGACCGCGTCCTGCGAAACCTTCGCTCGGCGAGAGTAAGTCAGGAGCGTCGCCCACCCACCTCTCCCTACTCTCCAAACTTCGCGGCAATACGAAGCGCATCATGGACACTCACTTGAAAATTGGCAATTTGCTAGTCGGTGGCGGGTTATGGCGAACAACGAAGGTTTGCACTCTGCTGAATATCACGATGTCCCACGGATCGAGCGTAACAAACGAAAAATAAACGCAGTCTCTATCCAGTTCTTGAGACTATAACATACTAACAGGAATCGCCGCAGTGTCTGCGACATGAGCATAAAAGCCATTTGAAACGTGGCGAATGTCAGTGATACTGCATTGGCGAAGACCGCGTCGGAAATCTCGCGTGCAAATGTGTGAACCATCATATCATATGATTTTCTCGGAGGTGGAATCCAGGATCTCGGAGGTGGAACATTTAAATTGCCGACATTTCGGATTAGTCAGTATTCCCCGGACTTGGTTAGGTAACTACCCACTTATACGCACTAAGATGCAATCGCCGTATTCGCAATCATGCAGATGATAAACTGAATTGTGTACATCCTAACAGTAGTCAATTGATTTCTCTCAAAGGCAGATATACATTCCGAGGTTTTTTAATATACACCGCACCCGACAATAATCAAAAATAGGCCAAGTATATCAGTTGTTAGGTGCGATACACAAAATATTTCTCGCGCGAAGATAAGAATGAAAGCCAATAACTGTGGATTGAATTCTCTATTCCATAAATTGTGTACAAACATAGATAATAAGTGATATGCATATCACCAAAACGCGGGGAGAAAATCCTCCAAGTCTTCGCCTATAGAGTGAATGGCCTTGAAATTGCACTCATTCTTCTCACAGACTTGGATGCGCCTCCAGCCACGGACCAGTGATTGTACGAAAGTCCTCCATCCCAAACAGGAACGGGCTTACGCTTACGGAAATGTGTCGCAATGCCAACGACAAGAGTGACAAGGTCTGCTAGGGCAAGGACCACTTGATCCCTAATGGTTTGCGACACGGCAAATAGTTCGGCTCGGCTTAGCAGATTGTCCATGGCGACAGAACACCGATAGAAGAAGTTGAACAAGTCTAGGAGTGCGTCGGCATTCTCTTCTCCAAACTGAACATCAGTAAGGGCAGTTAACAAAAGGTCCAGTTTTCCATGTTGCAATGCTATGAGGTGTTGGCCTACCTCAAGGAGACTAGCACAGTAGCTATAAGCAAGCTGTGTCGCCATATGACTCTCCTGCGCAAAGTGGCGGATCGCACGGTCAAAAGAATGTAGGCGCTCTACAAAGAGTCTTGCGCAGATCAGGACCTTGTCATAGCTACTCCCCACCGGAGGCAGCTTTCGCATGCGCTCTGAGCGTATCCATTCAAGGAGTCTTTCATGGTTGGCCCCGATAATGCTTGGATTGACAATGCCAGTATTGTTGAAGGGCTGCACGGAGTGCACAAGATCTGTCAAAGCAGTGGTTCCCGACCATGCACCAGAGGATGAGGACGTCGAGTACCAGGAGGCATTCTCCCAGGTGCCTGCCAGACCTGGGTCCTTTCTGCCCCCGTACGCGAAGGAGTCTGCGGGTGGGTCGAATGAGTGGTGAACGTGAGATTGAAATGAGGTTGCCATAGTGTAGGATAAGTGCTGTTGCTCGTGAGGGTTCAGTATGATCAACATAGGACTGAGCTCAATGCTGAGGAGCGGAGGTCCCGGGGACTTTCTGCCTAGGCTTTTATCGGCACCGCATCCACAGTCAGCGGATCATAAGAACGTCAGAAGGAACCCTTGATGAGGGAAGAAAAGGTCCTCCACTCTGCGTCTGATCGAATAACACTCAATAATATCGCCCAACGCCTATGCTCAAATTAGCCATTCGTGCAGCGACAGATTTGAGTGTACTCGCAAACATGGATCTCCCGGAGCAAACCGAACCACTTTGTCGGTCTTGGAGAACCAAAACATTGTAAATCGCTCAGGTGTAGACAAGGTTCGAAGGCCATTGACGAGGATGACAATGCCTCGCCCCATCACAAGGGTGCTTGCTGATCACTGTTTCCGTGTGGGCCATCAGAATGGCGGGGAATGTACGCATGCGGAGTGTGTGGGTTAGCGCCCGCCCACCAGAGAGAAGAAGTACATCATCAGCGGGAGCTAATCGGGTGTCAAGGATCTACAAAGGCCCACGGGGATCTCCCGAAGGCCCGTAGTCAATAACACACCCAGCACCCGGTTGCCATTGTCATCGGACAAGGGTTGCGCGGGACCGCGATCCATGGGTTTTTATTTCACTCCTCGGTCCAGGCAATGTGGAGCAAATCACTGTCAGCAAGATGTTTAATTAGGTGTTGAATCTCTGGTTCCGCGGAGGTTCGGGTCCCGGAACATGTTCCCCCGGGTGTTTTGTGCCGCCGAAAACGGAAAGATCCAAAGAAGACCCGGGGCCGGGCCACGTATCTTTGACGCGGATCTTGACATGGCGTCGTATGATGTCTAAAGGCTCTGCGTAACCCAGAAGTACGATAACAGCGTGGAGTACGAATGAAGGCGTCCTTCACCCATCACCTCCACCTTAACTATTAGTAATTGACAAACCCCAATTCTCTTGGCAGTGCGCCCTGTAGAAAAGAAAGGTTATAACCAGTTCGGATGAAAGAAACCCAGGAGAATCGCCAGGAGGCAAACTAGCTGCACTCGGCCCCACTGAGGTGTCCGGATATCCACCTCACAACCCGCCCAATAAGTGGAGATATCAAATAAAAAGGAGCACAGAGCCCCCGCCCGTGCTGCCCACATAAGCCAACATGTACAGACATTTGCAAGCAGCACCGAAAGCCAATACTTCCACGTGTTTAACACTCGGGCCACGATCTCCGGCGGATTGTTATCGTGGAAATGGGACCAAAGGTCAATATTATTATAGAACGCCACCAATAGAGCCAGTGTGACTTCCCACGCTGGATCCTCAATTAATCATATTATAGCAAGGAATACTTTCATAGGGTCTTCCTAAGATTTGATGTCTTATCAAGGATAATAGAATATTGCCAGTCAACTATCATGATCGCCCTTCCCAGAAATCACATCAACAAACTCTCTAAAGCCCTCAAGAAACTTCTTCAGGGACTATGGGCAGAGGCAGAAACTTAGGGATACCAGAGAGAGTCCCAAAACAGGTTATATTGATATGACAAGGACCCGCTCGCTCTCGGTATATAGATTCAGGTTTTTTTAAAGGCTGCCAAATCGTGGCTTCAAAGTTCTTGCCTGTCGAATGCCCATTCTTGTCTTCAGCAACAAGTCCATCAAAATAGTGACAACCTTGCAGTTTGATTCCGAAGTCCTGGTTTTTCTTGTTATAGTTCTTATTAATGGGACAGCAAGATTAATAGAGAAAATAAGGAATGTAAGATGCAATTTTAGTAAACTTTTATCAGATAAGTTCGCTCCCAGTTAGATACACCATGGCTCTGTTATCAGTATTCAAAGGCAACAAAAGCGGCGAGGTAGAATCAAAGTTAGCAATCCCATTTCCATTCATATATCGAATGTTCCTAGTGATGGTTATCCTCTCTATGAAGTACAGCAGCTCCAATAATGCTATATATCATGTTAGCAAAATCTTTGAAACATAATAAGCCGTTGTTATCAAGGCCTACCCAGTTGTCAAAATAATATGGATTCTATGACTGAGGTATTAGTAATTTCAGAAGGCTACAGCAATATATAAGTTCCTTACCCAATGCTTGTTATCCCAGTTATAATTGCAATCATCTCGGTTTTCCCAGTGACCTCGACAATAGCAGTCCTGTGCATTTGCTCCATATAACAGCAAAACAGAAGCTGTTATTATAGTTGAGACTCTCATGTCGGATTTGAATAAGAGCAAGGTCCTAACTTTAGTGCTAGACAGGTGGAGGAAAGGTAATCAATAATGGTGATAAGAAGGTGAGAATCTAGAAGCGAGGAAGGTCTCTTTATAATCATTTCCAGTAGTTCTGGCCCGGTAGGTAGACAAAATCTAGATGGGCCGTTTTCATAGATGATGCGCTAGAGGTTGGCCTCAGGTTGGCTGACCAGGGAATAGACATGGTTCTGATGCATTAATTGCATCAAATAACGTCAACATATTTGCAAAAAAGTTTGAAAAGTACTGTCATGGACTCAAGCCCCAACAAGACATATGAGATTATGGTTCTCTCATACTGTTACCTTCACCATAAATAATTGTATAATACTGTTATACTAGCGTTTCTGGCACTATAGGGTTAAGACCAACAAAGAGCTTTACTATTAGATTCCAACTTGGCATAGAAGAATATGATTATCATTAGAGTGCAGATGTCACAGAGGGGCAAAATGCACCACCGGATCAACTACTGTCTATGACAAGTGGTGATATCATTGTAACCTTATGTGTACTTATATTTTCTACCTTATTAGCAGCGATTTCCCAGATACTTGGAAAGAGCGAGGTTTAGTCTCTGTCAATTGACCAAACCCAAGAAAATACTTGCGTATCCTTACCATATCCCGTCAGAATCGCTATTATACTCTCCAGAGTCTCTTATTAAGCTTTCAAAATTTCATTCTTCCGAGTTGATGTCTTGTGAGGCGGTATGGTCTGTCTTCCATTCCTCATCTTCTGAAGATGGGATACCAGAGTGTTGTTCAGACTTGCTCTCCGCGTAAGGGTATGTAACTACTAAGGCCGACCGCAGGTTGATAGCCCTCGTACCTGAAGATCTAGTCACTTCACATTTATAGGCTAGATAACCTAATAGGCTCGGTTAGCTAGAATATACAAATAAATCTGACCCGAGAAGAACACATCTCTGTTCATTATCGGATGGTGAATGATGGGTGAGTTGGGTCTGAAGGGGCCCATGGGGCGGACTTGGCGGGCGCTGGGCGTGCGGCGGGGGCTTCTTGGCTCGCGAAGCGATCAGGCGTCCTTTTCAGCCGCGAGATTTTATCCTGAGCCTTATAACAGTCACAAAAACCTCATCAATCAGGGTATATACTATTGCGAGAATGGATCAGCCTCTGGCTGGGCCATCTAGAGGAGGAAGGAAACGAGGCGTCTTGTGTTTGCAGCGTGAACTCAGCTGTGACTGGTAACCAACGACACCTCCGCAGACAAACGCACGAAAGGAACCCTCTCGCTCGCAGGCCCTTCAGCAAGCAGGCACATATCCTCGCTGGCTCCCCCACCCATCAATCTGGCGCCTCCCCAACGACACCCTACACTTCCCTACACTAGCCGCCAAATCACTTGACGTCCAAACCCGCGAAAATGTTCAACACATGCCTCTCTAGCGTCCTTATCCCTGCAACGTTTGCAGCCTTCTCCAAACGCGTTGACCAAGACATTGTCGCCTTCGTCCGCGACGACCAACGTGCACAGTGCCCACCCATCGAATGGACAGTCCGGTGCTACGCAACCTGGCACTTGGCAACCCTGCACTCGGATCCGGACCTCCTCGCGCAGAGCCGGTATATCTATGGCATCTTGATCAGATATCTCCAATCTGCGCTCGATGATCCGCGCAAGTCCTCGTCGCAGAGTACACTCACCGTTGCGGTGCTAATGGGCATCTACGAGGTCTTTGACCGGAGCTCCCCCGACGCGTGGCTGGTGCATATACGTGGTGCAAAGGAGATATTGAAACGCCGCGGGGCGGCAGCACATTTCAGTGGGTTTGCGAGGACGATTGTGTTTTCGTGCCGGGCGTTCTTTATCGCCGAGGCGTTGATTAGTTGTGAGGAGTGCTTTCTTGCAGAGCGCGAGTGGGCGAGTGTTAATGCGAGGGCGTTTGAGAGGGAGGATCGGCGGGGGAAGAAGTGTAGGCTTGTTAGTTTGATTGATTGGACATATCGGGAGGTTGTCCGTGTGCCGGGGATGGTGGCGAGGGCGAGGCGGGTTCTTGGGGAGAAGGGTGAGAAAAGCAATGGGGGGTGGACTAGTGAGGAGATGGTGGGTGATGGTGGAGAAGCGGTGTTAAGGGAGGAGCTCAGGCCCCAGGTCCAGCGCAGCCAGGCGACGCTACGGCGATTAAGGAGGGCTGTGACGAGTCTTTCTCCCAAGGAGATGGCGCCGCAGGATCATGACGGGGAAAACATCATCGATTCGAGGTTTATCTGCCCGATCATACGACATAGCGTATATGCCGCTTCTGCGGTTGAGGATTTACTGGGTCGATTGTCTGCGATGCTGGCTGATAAAAAGGAGCCAGATCCCAGCTGCAAGGAGGTAGGACTGGTGGAGATACGCTCGACACTTCGGACTAAGAGCCCTGATATTACCACTAGCATGGACTTCCTATTCCTGTCGTTGGGGGCTATGGCGCTGTAGAACCATAATACATTCCCTTGACACAACTCAGTATCTCCCGAGGAGATGGTAGTATATATAATAAAGTTATGTTAATCCCAATCCAAGCCGTGAAGCCGTGGGCGAGCTGGGACGCGATGACCAAGCCGCGATACGCCCGCTAGAAAGTCATCATCCTGGCAGGGTACTCGGACGAGATGGAAAGATTGTTGTATATCAAGCTCTCTTACTGAGTAGCCTGTTGAGTTGGCATTACGGAAATCAAACTCAGGTTATTTGTCGTATCTCGGAATCCTCATTACAATCCCTCGACTTTGATCTGGCTGGGAAGAAAAGGAGCGATTTAGCTGTGTTGGGGCTCCAGCCTCAGGCACCAAAGCTTGGCGACCCCGCGTCGCGCCTCCCAAGCTGGTCCCCGAATAACTTCATCCTCTCCCCATGACCGTCAACTTGACGCGTCTCTCGACACCTTACCTCTCAGCCAGCTGTTGTTTCGAGAATTACGATCCGTGGCTGCGATGCATAGTTTGTCGCTCGATGCGCCTATTCGTCCAAGCCCAATATTATTCGTGGCTGTGGAAATCTCAGTATCCGCTCCCATGGCACGATCCCTCAACACGAGCGGCCGCCTCTGCTCGCGGGATCTACGCTAGCAGCCATGACTCAAGAGCGTCTTGGTTGACAAGCTCCAATTAGATGCGGATGAATACGATGTCTCCCCTCGTAAAAAGCTCGTGTTCAGCCCCAAATTATTATTTCAGGAGAATGAGCCGCAGCCGACTTTTGACCCTGCGACACCATCTCACCAGATAACAGCCGGAGACTATCATGGCTCAACGCACCCTTCCTTCAGTTCCTGTCAAGCACGCAGACCTGGTTGAATACCTGCAGTCGCACCCAGATGAACCTGTGCGCGATCTCTTGAAACCATATAACGATTACGACGCCGTTTTACGCCAAATATTCGCGCAGGAGCCGGATCATCCCGTCATCGCAGATGGCCTTCTCAATGTCGTGCCGCTTTACGATGTAGAACGAGGTGGTGCCGCGGACCTACGGATCCGCGCCCGTAACCTCGCGACAGAATCTGACGATGTGAAAACCAAATACATAATGCCCCTATCAGACGAAGACCGGAGACCGGATGGTTCGTTCGCAGTGGTTCCATCCCTAAAGCAATTCCAGACCAATTTCAGCATCTTCTCCGAGGGGTCGCTGAGCAGCCTCAACTGGGACAATGTCCTCGCTGTTGGTAGTTCGGTCGCAACTACGCTATTGCCGCTGCTAACCGAGTTTACAGATGAAGACTCTAAACGCAAGATTCGCCAATTCTACCACGAGAAGTTTGCTCCTGCATCCGACGTGGATCTTTTCCTATACGGCCTGGATCACGAGCAAGCCATTGAAAAGATCAAGCACATCAAGCAATGTATCAACGATTCTGTTTTGACTGAAACCACAGCTGTGCGCACAAAACACGCCATTACTATTGTGTCGCAATATCCCACACGCCATGTACAAATTGTGCTTCGCTTGTATAAGTCGCCGGCGGAGATATTGACGGGACTCGATGTGGACTGCTCTGCTGTGGCGTACAACGGGCGGCAACTGTACCTGACGCCCCGGGCTCTGGGCGCATACATCACACAGATCAACAGTATCGATCTATCACGGCGCTCTCCATCGTATGAAAGTCGTCTTTCAAAATACTCTCAAAGAGGCTTCGAGGTCTTCTGGCCCGATCTAGACCGGTCTCGCATCGACCCCGTGAGTTCCTCTGTTGCTTCATTTTCTGATGACCCAGCTGACCATCTCAGACTATTTATGAGCGAAACTTGAAACGCATCGTGGGTCTAGCTCGCTTGCTCGTCCTAGAGAAACTTCCACATTTATCCGAGCGAGAGCAGTATCAGGATAAGAGGAGACGCGAGCGCGGGCGTCCGGCCATCAAGGGTAGTCGGCAGTATGCTCTACCCGGCGATCTCAAAGACGAGTGGGACGATGAAATTCCTGACTGGATGGAAGAAGACCAAATCTCGAATTACCACACAATAAAAATTCCATATGGCAAGAAGTACTGTGCGCGAAAGATTGAGAAGATCTTGTTCACGAAGGACCTGCTTCTCAACGCGGAATGGAACCGGCCACCGGACCGAACGGTCAACTTGCATCGTCACCCAGCATTCTTTGGCAGCATTGATGATGTCCTGCACGACTGCTGCGGATATTGTCCGGTTCCTACAACAGATGAAGGGCTTGAAATTGCTCGGGAGGAGAGCAGAACGTTCATATCTGGAAAGATGGGCTTTTTGACCGACAACCCCGGTCGTCAGGAGATTGGAAGTTTCAATCCAATTACCGAANGGGGGGTGGACTAGTGAGGAGATGGTGGGTGATGGTGGAGAAGCGGTGTTAAGGGAGGAGCTCAGGCCCCAGGTCCAGCGCAGCCAGGCGACGCTACGGCGATTAAGGAGGGCTGTGACGAGTCTTTCTCCCAAGGAGATGGCGCCGCAGGATCATGACGGGGAAAACATCATCGATTCGAGGTTTATCTGCCCGATCATACGACATAGCGTATATGCCGCTTCTGCGGTTGAGGATTTACTGGGTCGATTGTCTGCGATGCTGGCTGATAAAAAGGAGCCAGATCCCAGCTGCAAGGAGGTAGGACTGGTGGAGATACGCTCGACACTTCGGACTAAGAGCCCTGATATTACCACTAGCATGGACTTCCTATTCCTGTCGTTGGGGGCTATGGCGCTGTAGAACCATAATACATTCCCTTGACACAACTCAGTATCTCCCGAGGAGATGGTAGTATATATAATAAAGTTATGTTAATCCCAATCCAAGCCGTGAAGCCGTGGGCGAGCTGGGACGCGATGACCAAGCCGCGATACGCCCGCTAGAAAGTCATCATCCTGGCAGGGTACTCGGACGAGATGGAAAGATTGTTGTATATCAAGCTCTCTTACTGAGTAGCCTGTTGAGTTGGCATTACGGAAATCAAACTCAGGTTATTTGTCGTATCTCGGAATCCTCATTACAATCCCTCGACTTTGATCTGGCTGGGAAGAAAAGGAGCGATTTAGCTGTGTTGGGGCTCCAGCCTCAGGCACCAAAGCTTGGCGACCCCGCGTCGCGCCTCCCAAGCTGGTCCCCGAATAACTTCATCCTCTCCCCATGACCGTCAACTTGACGCGTCTCTCGACACCTTACCTCTCAGCCAGCTGTTGTTTCGAGAATTACGATCCGTGGCTGCGATGCATAGTTTGTCGCTCGATGCGCCTATTCGTCCAAGCCCAATATTATTCGTGGCTGTGGAAATCTCAGTATCCGCTCCCATGGCACGATCCCTCAACACGAGCGGCCGCCTCTGCTCGCGGGATCTACGCTAGCAGCCATGACTCAAGAGCGTCTTGGTTGACAAGCTCCAATTAGATGCGGATGAATACGATGTCTCCCCTCGTAAAAAGCTCGTGTTCAGCCCCAAATTATTATTTCAGGAGAATGAGCCGCAGCCGACTTTTGACCCTGCGACACCATCTCACCAGATAACAGCCGGAGACTATCATGGCTCAACGCACCCTTCCTTCAGTTCCTGTCAAGCANGGGCAGGCAGGCCAAAAGCTCCCCTGCAAAACCAGCAAGAGTTCACGATCGATTGGACGAATGGGCGATCTAGATCTCGAAACCAGCTAGCCCCGACAGAAGGCCGTTCGACCACCGCCCGGAGTCCGACCGCTCAGGGTCCGACCTCATGAAGCCTCATCCCTTTGGGCCAAAATCCCAAATGGCCGCCTTGGCATTGCTGGGATATGACCACTGGGAATCGCTGGTCTTCCTGACCCCCACCGTTTCGTTTCTGTATCAACTGACACCTGGCCTCTCCTTCCTCTTTCGTACATTCTTCGTAGCCTCATCCCTTTGGGGCCAAAATCCAAAATGGCCGACTTGGCATTGCTGGGATATGACCACTGGGAATCGCTGGTCTTCCTGACCCACACCGTTTCGTTTCTGTATCAACTGACACCTGGCCTCTCCTTCCTCTTTCGTACATTCTTCGTAGCTCGACATCTCGTTGCTTCCTAGGACATCTCCGCGAGTGAAGACCGACTGTCAATCGACGCCGATCTGACCACATATGTACTAGAATTCAAACTCTTGCATGTTCTGGATCAAGATCTCAGCATGTTGATAACATATCCAATCCTCTAGGACAAGGAGAGGTAATCATGAATCCCATATGTTCGACAGACATTATCAGAACATGCATAACCCTACCAACAGTCTGGCTTAGTCATTATTTTGTAAGCTATAACTTATCTAGAATGATTGGCTGGCTACGTCGGCCACCTAAAATAGAACAAGCAACTTCGTACCTCCAGATACTACCCGCCACCTATCAGGTTGCTTATGAAGTCGAAACGACTCAGAAGTTTGTTCCTATTACCTGAGCGTACCAACGTCTTCTTTTTACTCTATGTGGACTAAATTTACAGTGCATGCTGTTGGCAGACAATATCATGCTACTCGATTTACCAAATGAGTTGCTACTAGCGGTTGCACAACATATTCAACGTGCTTCTGATATTAATTCGCTGAGTCAAGCTACCAAACAGCTGCATGCAGTATTATCGCCATTTCTGTATCGCGATAATATCCGGAGACATGGTGCCTCGGCACTTATCTGGGCTGCTTCCTATGGCTACGATCGGACCGTCGAGCTGATGATTAGCTATGGAGCTGATGTTAACACTCGCGATAAATATGGCGTGACAGCAATAATTGAGGCTATACGGCATGGGCATACTAATGTGGTCCAATTACTTCTCAAAAACCGTGCTGACCTCTATGCTGAGGGTCAGTTCTATGGACCTGCACTTCATGAAGCCGCGCGTGAAGGCTACGAAGACTTGGTGCAACTGCTGTTAGATAACAAGGCAAAAGTGAACCACCAAGGTGGAGAACATGGAAGTGCACTCCAGGCAGCAGTGTATGCGGGGTGGACTGATATAGTCCAGCTCTTGCTGGATAACGGCGCCAATGTTAGTGCACCAGGATACTACGATAGTGCTCTTGTGTTAGCAGCTGTTGTGGGCTACGAGGATATTGTGCGAGTACTACTCGCAAATGGGGTTGATATCAACGCTCAAGATGAAACATATGGGACTGCACTTCAGGCAGCCGCATGTGAAGGGCAAGGCAAGATTGTGCAGATCTTACTGGATAGGAATGCGGATATTAACGCGTGTGGTGGTTATTATGGCACAGCTCTACAGGCAGCATGCGCTGAAGGGCATATGGACATCGCAAAAATACTGCTAGAAAAGGGTGCGAAAGTGTTTCTTGAAGGTGGGGAATATGGCACAGTCCTTGCAGCTGCAATAAACAATGGAAATGAGGAGATAGTGCAGCTGGTTCGGGGCCACATGTCTTGAAGTTACCAACGTCATAAAAGCTGCAGATGATTCACTTAGTCTAGAGGACTAATTATTGAACGCAGATTTCTTTATGACCTGGGTAACGTAGTTCAGACATATCATATATAATGTACTTGTTATGTGCTATCTCACATGCCGGCCTAATCCCGGACTATCTACTAAGTTATGGATCGGAGTTTCAATGGAGGAAACATTAATGCCAAGAAGTTGCGATTTAACTAGTCCTCACTACTAGTAATTGGGCCATTTTGAGCCGCTGGCTGTCCAATCCGCTGATTGCGATATTGCGATAGAACTGTGATCTGAGGAGATCTTCTTCTGGAGTACCCAAGTATGATAGGGAAACAAGAAGGTGGCATCTCATACAGATCAAGCAATAGTCATCTAAGCACCCTATCTCTATCTAAATCAAAGAGAGCAAGATAGCTCTTTAAGACTTCGACGACACGCAGAGATAAATCAAGGATAACAGTCGGGATGGGCATGTCAGTGAAAATCCTAGCAAGTGAAGTAGCTGTATCTTTTTCGGTCTTATTGTCGTGTTGAGATAGGATTAAGGATTTATTTTGTGATAGAAGTGCTGGAGGAGTCATTGTTCAGAGATAATCTTTTGGTTTCTCTCAACCTAAGTCTGTTCGTGGGAGGTATCCGTCGTCAAAGTGGATGACAAAGGCGGGGCTGTGAGCAAAGGGAGTGGTGAGATTCAAGAACGCTTGTCGAAGCACACGGACTTCCCCTTCCGCCTGCCCTTGGCTGAGAGCGCTTCCTGGCCAGCTGAGGTTAACTCCGTAACAACATATCTTGCTACATGGACATTGACTACTGAGAGGAGCGGAAGCGAATGTAAGCACAAAGTGAACTGGTATGACGTCATACAACACGCTATTTTAGATTCCTTGATTCTTGATCACTTGAGTCCTTGTTCCTTGGTTCGTTGTATGAACAGTCGCTTCTTCCAAGGTCTACTGCGTCTCTCGAGAATTTCCTATTCAAATTTATCTCTTCGAGCACAAGCACACGATTCGCACCTTCGTTCTTACTCCATCAGATCGCAAATTCCAGCACGATCTGAAGCCGCCAGTGGAATTATGTTGCACCATCTATTGCAGTAGCTTCCCTTACTCCTTATTAAATCTTACAACAACGATCATTCCCAATGGACCCTCAAATACGACTCAAGAATTATAGCACTGCCATGGTTCTACATACCCAAAATCAAATGGCGAAGCTCATGATAACTTCGACAAGATTATGCCTAGCCCCAACAGAACAGCCTTTTAAGGTCAGCTGTGGTGGTTTTGCCTCTACCATGTCCTCGAGGCATGCGGCTAAAAAATAACACCACCGTTCGCAGTATGGCAGGAGGCCACCTCTGTAAGTGCTACCAATAAAGCGAGGAACTTGACATACTGCTAATGACAATTCATACAGCATTCTTAAGCTATCAAGCCCGGCCTGATGATGTTTATACCAAGCGGTTGCGACACTGTGATGGCGTTCGATAATTGCGTTTCCCAGCTCTTTCTGATCGGTTGAGCCGGGTGGTTTTTCTCAACCAGCATCTTTACCAGTCCCAAATGGCCTTCCAAAGCAGCGAGAGACAGGGCCGTACGGCCATCCCCGTTCTTTGAGTCTAGATTCACCCGGGTCTTTTCCTGCAACATCGCCAAAGCTGCTTGATGTCCACCTAATGCAGCATAGTGAACTGGTGTCCAACCATTACCATCCTGTGAATTTGCATCCACTCTTCTAGTCTTAAGTATCATCTCCAACACCGCCACATGGCCTCTTAATGCAGCATAGGACAAAGCCGTGCGACCATGGCCAGTTTTTGAGTCCACATCCACCTGCTCGCTCTCAAGGATTATCTTCACCACTGCTGCGTTTCCCTCTGATACATGCAGTAGGTCTAATAGTCGCTCGAGGACGCACTTAGATGTTTATTCTTGATTTATAAAAAAAAACAGCTTGCTCGCCATAAGTCGCCACCTCCTAGCACAATGTCAATTTTCAAGTGGGTGTCCACGATGCGCTTCGTGTTGCCGCAGAGTTTGGAGAGCAGGGAGAGGTGGGTGAGCGACGCTACTGGGGCATTATCCGGAAAGAGAAAATGCCGTAGGAACGACGCAGATTCGGAGAAGCACATGCCACCTCGGAGCTCGACGATAAGCAGATAAAGCGCAAACGAGGGCTTATCCTGAGCACAAGTAAGTTAGGTCAAATTATTTGCAAGCGGAATCTCGTCGTAGGGCGTCTCGATAGCGGGATGGACAGTCATGTTATGTGGCAACTTCATGTACTTCTCGGTGAACGCAGCACCCTCCATGAACCCAGCTGCCTCGCGACTCGGTGGAATCATTGGCTGAGCAGCTATTGAGGCGCGCGAATCTTGTCCTGACGAGAACATCCGCTGGTCTGACAATACCGTAGCCCGAAGGTTTGTCCCGAATAACAAGCGGTTGTAGATGCTGTTGCACACCTCCCAAGCTCGTTTCGCAGGGACGCTGATCGATCCTAGGTTGTACAGCCAATCTAGTCCCTTCTCTAAATGTACGGTAATGTGGGAAGCGCCGTCCGCATGAAACCGCACGCAGAATTCCATCTCGATGAGGAGGACAGTAACCGACTGCATGAGGTAATGCAGAACACACCACCATGGGGAAACCTGGACTAGCCAGAATGCGTCGGGCTTATCAGGCAATGAATCCAACAATTCACATGCCGAGTCGATGCAGATACGGGAAATCCGCTGCTGACTGAGTGCCGATGCTTCGTTAGGCGCACGCTGTCTTTCGGATCGACACAGAGACGGCCGGCTGAGTGTAATACGCAGACTATAATACCGAAATGCTAGACTCCATCTCTGTCGCTCGAAATGAGTCGAAGAACGGTGGATTTTGAAGTGGAACGCAGGTGGGACACGACTAAGCCATTCGTCCGTTTCTTGAATCAGATCCATGATGGATGCACTAATAGTCAACCACGGCTTTCTGGCGAAGCCAGGGTTATACAGCGAGTCAATCGCGCGCCGCATGATCACAGTGAGATCTACAAAGCAGAAGAAGTAGAAAGAATTGCTGGGGGAAATGTCCATAGGGCTCAAGAAAGCGTCTTGTATGAGCACAGCGCGTCCCAAACCGGGAGAGTCCCAGGAACTAACCCTCGCTGCGAGCTTAGAGCCTGCATATACTCGATGCGGGCCGCAAAGTCTGCGAGCAACCGCGATGCTGCTGGTTCGCGGAACTGTTCTTCATCGAACGGGATTGGCAACGGTGTCGTGCTGTACTTATCCGGAGCACTCGTGGGTCGACCTGTCAGAATGGCCAGAGTATTTTCCAACGTGTAGATTGACCACCACACCCGGTACCGGATTTCCTTGGATAAGTTTGATGTCTCCTTGCTTTCACTGCGAAGGTTGACGCCCAGAGCAATCGCAGACCGAACGGAAACGCCACACGCTCGCCAAGCGCGGTTGATATGGCCTATAGCCATCAGAAAAAATGCCGTCAGCCCCTCAACCTGGACCTGCTGAAGGTTAGGATGCTCAAGAAGCTGGCTTTCGGTGAAGCTCAGCTTCCGCGCCCTGGTAAAGCAGACCATCGGACTGTCAGCCCCCACCCATGGCTTTGAAACCAATTGGGCGAATTTTGAGGCGAGCGCAAAGACCAGGTTTAGAATCGTCAACCGTCTCTTCGTCGGATTAATGTCAGGTCGTGTATAGTACATCTCACATTGCTGCATGAACGGGATCTTGGCTATAATGGGGAATGATGGATGTACGGTAAAGAAGTAGCAGTCTAACAACTTATCGGCAATATCTCGGGGTGGACGACCGTAGGGATCGATGCTCGCATCCAAGACCAAATTTTCATCGTCGAGGAAGTAGCAAATGGATGTCAATGACTGGGATTTATTCGAGACTTCGGAGTCAAGGAAGGGCGTGTCTTCCTCGAGGACCTGATACAGCTCATTAATCCACGACATCTCCGAAGGACCACCCATGAACCCAATCGCCTGCAACGCTTTGTCGCTGTGGAAATCCTCCTGGATGTATTCGATGCCAAAAGAGCGGGTTTGGCCGTGCGCTGAGCCGTGGTTCGCGTGGTCGGGATTTGCATGCTCGGAATCTGGACTGGAATACTAATGCCAAGGCTATTGTCAGGAGCACTTGACAGAAGGTGAGCAGATGTTGTGTACGTACCTGAGCGCGCGTACGACTGATGAGCTCTTTATCATGGCTGTCGAGACGCGGCTGGATCTCAGTGAGAAGCCGATCGTAAGCTTGAGCCTGCTTCTCCAGCTCCTGCAGCCGTTTCTGCATCGCCTCACGCTTTCCATCCACGTATACACATTCCATTCCAAAATCGGTACAACGACCACACGGTTGATGACCGTTGCATTTTGTTTTCTGCTCTCTGCACTCGATGCAGGCTCGTTTCACTCGTCCGTTTCCAAACGAACGTTGTGGGGTCACACGCGGAATGGCGACTTTGGAACTGGGAAGTAGAGGTGTGGAGACCTTGCTAGTATCCACAGCCTTACTAGCTCCGCTTGCTCCGCTCACTCCGCTTGCCTCTGTGTCTCGTACATTTTCAACCTCCTCATCAAGATCAGGTATCTCTAAGTCTTCTGCCACAGGATCTTCTAAGCTGTGAGTCTCTAACACCTCTACAGGCGTTGCAGGGCTTGTTTCCTTGATTAGATCTTCCAGAAATGGTGTTGTTGGGTCATATAATTGATTTTCATCGAACACAACATCTCTAGCCTCCTTAACCTTCTTCTGCTTTGGAAGCCATATCTGCCAGATGTTCGAAGCCTTGTATCCAACAAGATATCCAATAAGCGCACTGGGAGCAACCTTCTCACTTCTCTTAAGGTCCTGATTCCTCATATAAGCGCGGCATCCAAAGGTGTACAGATTTGCAAGGTTTGGTTGCTTCCCATGCAGTGCTTCGTACGGAGTCTTCCAGTTCAGGGCTCTAATTGGTGATCTGTTTAGCAGAACTGCAGCTGCTTTAAAGGCTAGTGGCCAAAGATCTAGTGGTAATCGGGCATTGACCAATAGAGATCTTGCCTTCCTAATAATCACCCCCCCAGAACGTTCCGCAGGGCCGTTCTGCATTGGATGACCACGTGGAGGAGTCTCATGACGAATTCCTTCATTCCAGATGAGGTCTTTGAACCCTCCTCCCAGTGTACGCTCGTTATCAGAGCGATATATCTTCACTGGCTTGCCATATTGGTTCTTCGCAAGGTTCGTGAAGTCCTGAAGCGCCTCTGCAATCCCATTCTTCCGCGCTGCAGTGTATACAACATGGTTATGTGTTGCCTCATCGTACAGATGAATACACCATCGATCTCCGTTGAATGCTTCAATCAGTTGAATCAGGTCGAAAAGGACCCTCCGAAACGGCTCCGTTTCTCGCTCTGCTGAGCGTCGAGATATCTGCTGATCTGCAGATGATAAGATGCATGTTTCGCAGGATTGAAAGCTCATAGATCCTCTATTAAGCATCTTGACTCCTGTTGATGCTTCTGGTAAGCGTTCTAGTGCTTCATGGTTTAGGTGACCCATTCGCTGATGCCAAAGATCTATATCCCCATCTAGGATAAGTGGTTTCTTAGATTGCTTAATTGCGTACGCATCTTCTTGCTTGCTTGGTGGTTTGTATTCAATGACCCAAAGGTCTTGAATTGTACGCAGATTGCAGATCTCCTCTTGATCCTTGAGAATACGGTCATTTTCAAAATCCCATCTATACCCTGCTCTCTTCATTCGCCGAGCAGAGAGGATATTAGTATGGAATCCAGGCACGAAAGTAACGTCTCTAAGCAAGATACTAATCCCTTTCTTGCTATTAGGCGTAATTCGTACGTTGCCTCTGCCCTCTATCCTCATAATCGTGTCTCCTGCACGTAGCGTCCTCTGATCTTCTTCCGTGAAGTCCTGGAAGCGAGATCGATCGTTGCATACGTGCACTGAAGCTCCAGAGTCAAGAATAAAACAATTCTGGAGTTCGTACGATGATTCTGTTGAAAAGCTAGTTGGAATGACTGCCATTGCGTGCTCCTGCTGGTTATCCTGGCTTGACATCACGGAATTCTTTTCCATTGCCTTCTTCAGCGCGAACTGTGCTCCATTTCGTGGTCCTTTTAGAAGCTTCGTGAATCGTGCTTCTATCTCTGGCTTAGGAGCCCAGTTTGATGGTTGCATTAAAGTCATAACGTATGGGCAATCAAGAAATCGGTGAATTGCTCCGCAGAGACACTTTGGTCGTGGTAAGGAACTTGATATGGGTTCTGGTGCTTCATCTGATTGTCCTTTTAGTGTTGCGAATGCTGCATCTGACCTAGATCGACGTACAACTGCAATATCTGCTGTATAGCCTCGAAATTGAGCAAGGATCTCTGGTAATTCGATCTCCTCATCTCGCTGTAGGTCATCGAAACGACGTTCAGCCCAGGAAGGTGAATGTCTGCTAACTGCCTCTAGAAAATGTCGTACGGCATGCTGGTCTTTCACCTCTGGTCGATCTGCAGCTAGGCACTCTAGATAGGCTGCCTCAAAGGTCGCAAGCCAGATCTCTAAATTTGAGTCCTTGATAGAGGTCTTTCTTGCTTTCTCATACTTTGCGAGTATCATTCGACTCTGCTGGTGCTTGCTAGGAGCAAATTGAACCTTTAAAGCCTTCAGGATATCGTACACTGACTCCTTCCCATAGATATGGTGAATAAGCAGCGTGCTTATCGATCCGCGAATAGCTTCATTGACCACTGCAAGTCCTCGCTTGATCTTCTCATATTCATTTGACTTCACCGTCCAGAGTTGCATGCGCATCTTCCATTGTGATTCTGGTAAGGCTTCAATGTCTGGGATCTCTGGTTTCTTTGGTAGCTCTGGTAGCCCTCCTTCTTAGTATCAGGGTTGATGTATTCCCATACATCTCGCGCCTTCGCTAAGCTTTGTATATTATCATACCAAGCGCGCCAATCATCTCGAGACTTCAAGATGATTGAGACCTTCGTTGCAGCGCTGGCATCCATGTTGTTGTACAATAACTGCTTCGGGATCGTTTTCTGGGTCGATTCTCGATTCAGGGGTATCAGGGGTAGGTACTCTCGATTCGTCGCTCACGGTGCAGTATTCTCGGAGAAGGCAGGCCTGAATAGCTTCAATATAGTCAAACGAAGCAGTGAAGCAGTCCTATATGCGTGCCGGGCTCATAACTGTCGGACTTCGTGGCGTACGTAATATTTGGTCCACCGCCAGAGGAATGTGAAGGTCTGATTCATTGAATCTAGCAGCGATACTGCACTAAATACAAGAGAAATAGGGGTAATCTAACTAATTAAATTAGGAAATAGAAACGATACAAGGAATGACCGAGCGGGCGCTGACTAACAGTAAGTTCGGCGTTGAAGCAGAATACTAGCGGTCACTAAAGGTCGACAGATAATTTTCCTTCAATTCTGAGCCTAGAGCTAAACTTGATTGGGTAAGGCAGCGGATCAAGTATAATCCGCGTAATATACCAGCTGTCACAATACGACGCATAAAGTTATGCTGTACGGGTTATGCACGAGTCAGTGGAGCAACTCCAACGGGCCTGGTCCATGATTGTTGTTACATTGTCGGCATCAGTTCCTTGGTCGGAGACAAATCCATTGGGTGAAGGCTAAAATAACATTATGTTCATATTAGACTATACCTCGAGAACGTGAAACCCCCTGCCGTCAACAACTCTCTAGAGTAGACTCTCCAGCAGGACTTCGGAACGTACGCCTTCCTGCCCCACCGCTACTTCGGGTCGCAAACGTACGCGTTCCGAAAGGGGGGTGGAATAGGTATAGCATTTAAAGCTTCTTTGATGTTACTCAAATTTCCTTGTTTGCTAGGGAGTGGCGGGACGGCATGCTTTGGCCATTCCAGGAGGAAAGTGAGAACGGCACTGCTTCATATAACTAGGACGCCTTGTAATACATTTCGCGATCTCAAACGGCCATGCAGTGCAACAACTCAAAAATGTTTGTGCTATGACCCTGAATTTAGACGATATAGAGCCGTCGTGTAAGCGGCGACAGCGTACTGTTGGGCCAACGTAGGCGCTACTTCGGAGGGCTAGTGACGATCAGGATGAGGCACTATGGGAATCGTACGAATTGGGAAGAAAATTCCAGTTGTTAAAAGAATTAGAATGAATTGCTTGAGGTCTTCTGGGTCAAGCGGTTCCCAAAGCTTCAATATACAATAGGATTGATCATCGACCAAGCAGCCGGATGTGGGGTACCTTCGCTGCCTTATCGGCGCCTTATTAGAAGGGCAGCCGCCATGACACCTATCAAGGCTATCAGCTCGCTTACGAAAAAATCCACTTACCGATGTATGGCAGGCGGTGTAGAGCGGCATTTTGTTTCAGAGCGCTTGTTCTATCATGTGAGTGACGTGGGCGTGCGGGGTTGAGAGTCCTGTGTTCGATCTTGTCAATCGTCTTTGTGAGATCTATTGTGTGTCATCAGGATTAGCAAACCTCTTTAATTGCTCGTATATTGCGTTAAATGAACCTTACCATGACAAAGCATCGAAATATCGCACCGCGGCCAGTTCTAAACCAGGAGAGCTTACTGGGAATTCCACTAAGTGAAGTTAATCAGCTTCACCGAAAAGCTACTCGACAAAAACGGGCATCTACAGCTTGCATTAATTGTAAAATATCCAAAAGAAAAGTAAGACACGCTAATATAAAGCCAAAGTATTAGAGCTAATTCACTAAATATACTAGTGCTCTGGAGAGTCGCCATGCGCTAGCTGCACTGCGTTTGGCCAACAGTGTCTCATTGACAAGACATTAGACAAGCGCCGGCGTGTAACCGTGAAACGTATGGCTGGTGAACTTAACTTTTGCCACAACCTGCTTGATGATCTGCTAAAGATAATGCGTGCGGAAGATCAGTCACTGGGCTTGAAACTGCTGGACTTTGTCCGCCTTGATACCACCTCTATCCAGATTCGTGAATATCTGGACGACGTGCTTCGATCAAACAGGAAGAACGGAGAACAGAAACGAGGGATGTAGGAAATAATTAACTTTATGTATGTATTTATCAGATTGAGCTACTACAGACGCCGGCTATGGTTTGTTCTTTTAGGTCGCGATTGACATAGCAATGAGAAGCTTCTATCCCTGGTCTGCGTTGCGTGGAGTCTAAGCTCTGCCAAATAGGCGCCTTGTTTCTAGCGAATTTGGAGGTTATAAAGGACTTGTGTCTTGTGCATTGGAAGCTAAGATTGCAAATCAGCTCATCGCCACTTTGAAAGGTCACCCAAAGGCAGCACCAGTCATGAAGCCATGTTTCCTTGCAGAAAGGCTTAAACATTCAAGTGCAAAACTCGAGGTCGATGAGAATAGCCGTAGTTCTTGATTTTAGCGTGATACGTCACGGGCAAGCTCCTGTGTTCGGCCCAGAGTCCCGCCAATTAACATCTCTCAAGTTCTTTTGATCTGATGTGTCCTTGCGTATGATTGAACGATTTCCGGGCTAGGGATCCCCACAGAGCTGTGAACCTTGTTTTCAGCGTCCAAGCCGTGCTGGAAATAATTTCCGGCCATTTAAATAGCATATATGTCAGCGCCTCATTTTGAGCTGCCCCGAACATAAACCGCCAGTGCCCCAGATAATGATTTTTCTTTTTGACATTCCTCAATGTCGCAAATCCCAATTACCGATTTCTTTAAATCGTTTTATGTTGATTATGTCTATGCGAAGTCAAAGAATTCTTGCCCCTGCATCTACAGGTCCTCCCCCCGTCACTCTTAGACCCATAGCGAAGAGAACGAAGACCTCGAGAGCATGCTCTGCATGTCGAGAAAGAAAGAGCAAAGTGCGTAAGCCGTATTTCTTTGTGGATACTTCAAAAAAGTGGAGTGCTGCTAAAGCTATAATTAGTGTACTGGTGGAGTACCATGTCAAATGTGCCTCCAGAGTCATACCACATGCGTTATCGACCCCGACACAGATAACCGCCGCAGAAATCTACTCTTGCAAAGAATAAGCACCCTGGAGAATACAATTACTAATATTTTGGAAACTGTCCGAGACGAGGAGAAGTCCGAACGATTTATTAGTGTTGTGAGGAGCAACGCATCATTCGAGCAGATTCAGCAGGTTTTGGCGCGAAACCTAGGCAAAGACACATCCCTAGGAATCAACATAAGACCTGACTGTACTGCCCTGAAGTCGCAAGAGACACGACGGTCGGCTCTTAGCGATATACGTGGATTAATGGCCATCGACTCTCTGATCTAGGGTTGTTGAATCTTTCAAGGATGCTTGTGGCAGAGCGCGCAGTGTTGTCTGTCGCAGGAAGAACTAAATTCAGGTAGCGTGGGTGTTCGCATACTATAGTCTACCATGAATTTCATATCTGAGATTGTGAAATTGGGATCTGACAGCCTGCGCTTCAATGCATTACTGCTTACATACTAGAGGTAGCGTTTTGCTTTGCCGAGAGAGTAAATTTTGTTCTAGTTCTATACTTCGCTGCAGGATCCATTGTATGCAACTTATGGAATTACTCTACTATGGCAAAGGGGCAAAGCAAATAATAATCCCAATAAAATAGAACTAGAAGTTGGTTTTTGGATAGTACTAGGTGCTACTGGATGATCTTTTCTCTACAAAAAGAGATAGCATATCCACATATATTCCGCCAGGGGCGCTGCCCCCAACCGTAGGAAGATTATCATAACAAATTCCTATTCCAATGCTGCTGCTTCCGTGCTCGCATGGTCAATCCCGTCATGCACGTTAATCGTCTCTACGGCGCTTTCCTCGCGGTACCTTTGTCGTGGGGCCAGTCGCCGAGCGGTGGAATACGTCACCAGCACCCTCGCATGTGTCGCGACTATCGGATATGTGACCGTTGAAGCGAGATTCCAACATGCTGATGTACCAGTCAGCGTGGCTCTGGATATCGGAGAATCACAGAAACGTAGACAGTGCAAACACACGACAACGTCTCTGGTAGGCAACATAGTGACCAATGCGGGAAAAAGATTCTTACTCTACTCTTCTCTTCAGACTAGGAAAAAAGAGATATACCGTCAGTAGATGCAACATCACCCAGACACCGACAGGGGCATGGAACGTACTCCCAAAGCGCTGAAGCCAAGGCTGGTATATTCTGAGGGTCAATGTCTGCTTCCCACTCGCCGTCGTCGCTCTCGGTGCCTTCGATGTCGAGGAGATCGCTTGCTCCTGAATCCTCGCGCTGCCGGTCCACAGGGCTGGGGGTCGTGTGAGTCTCACGACTTTGCGTGTTGGGAGGTGTCTGCAAAGTGTGCTTTGCCTTAATCAGCTCCTGGCGAAGCGCGTCCAACCGCGAGACAGGGCTTGTCGGTTCGCCTGTGTTTGAAGTGCCGATAGTAGCCATGAGTATTGGATCGTGACCGACCGAACCTGTGACAGAAGATTGTACTGGCGTAACATCGATGGAGGTGCTCCTGTGCCCGAGCTTTATGGGGCCAGATCCCAGCGGGTGAAAAGTGCTGCGGCACACTTCCGAAGGAACAGACTCTAAATGGATAAACGCTTTCTGGGTCTCATTGGATGCCGATCGTCTTGGTGCTTTGCTCTACTTATCAAGCAGCCGGCGCTTCATGACTCTCCGGCAGGACTTTTTACAAACATTCCTGCCTCACATCAGGCCGTGCCAAACGGCAGGCCCGCTGATCGCTGGCCTCTGCTTGGTGGAGCGGATGAGATGACTAGTTCTAGTAGTTCGTGACCGAACTAGATCAGAGCGGTTCTGTCAGGAGATTTCTTTTAGTAATCAGTCTCTAGCCCCGTGCATGTGATTTGCAGCAAACAAGGCAATGCGTGGAGAATGAACGAGCCGCCCTGATGTAACAGATAACGGACCTTGAAAGCTTGGAAACCCAGCTGGGACGGCATCGGTCCGTAACGGCGGATGCTCGCCAGCTCGCACAGATGGTCCACCCAACGTATCTGGTCATTCCCGGATTGATGCAAACTACGAGATAGCCAGAGCCATGCTGAATACATGGCCGTGCGTGCACCGGACAATTTCCGACCTATGCTCTGGATTTGCATTGCTCGAACCTTAAACATCAAAAAACATCTGAGGATTCAATACCCCAAGCTCCTCATCTTGGCTCGCCCACATGGAATCTGGTCCGGCAGTCGACGGCAGGGTGGTGGACGGCACGCCCGGATTGGCCGCATTGGTCATACAGCTGATGAGTTGCTGGTGGCAGGTGTTGAAGGCCTCTTGGGCTCCGTGGACGGCTCGCTGTACGTCCTCCCATGTGCGGCCGGCAGACTGGGCATCCTGCGCCTGCGAGAGCTGCTGCTTCAAAGTTTCGTTCTCCTGCAGCAGCCTATCTCTTTCCGCTTCCACCCTGTGTAGGTCGCATTCAAGATCTTTCACGGTCTTAAGGCAGACGCTGTGGTCCTCCAGAGTTTCGGTGGAATCGTCCGCGGGCTGTGAATGGGAGATGGGTTGGGGCGTGGTTTGCGTCTGCCACCAAGGACCAGGTCGGTCAGCACTGCTGTATAGCCTTGGGGACGCTGCCTTATAGCCGGATGGAATACTCACCAAAGACTGACGTCGTCGCGGACGGGTGAGCTGCGTAGCAACAGCTGCGGGGGGTTCCTGGATGCGCACCCGGTTGTTGGAAGTTCGAGGGCCAGAGCTTGCGGCAAGGGAACTCATACTCGTTCGAGATGGTACTTTCGCCATATTGTCTCAGCATCAGCGGCCACAGTTCGAAAAGTGGAAGGGAGAATATTTCGTGCTCCATTGACCTGGTGGAGGAACCACTATAAGAACGACGGCTTAGCGGGGAATTGGTGAGAAACTACGGCCGCGGTTAAGTGACGGCAGATCGTAAAGCCCAATAGGCCTCAAAATTGCCCTGAAATACCCACATCACCCGTCCCTTGCATCGACTTTGCTATGTAACCCTGCTGGATAATTAAGGGAAGGTTTACCAGAGGAAGACCAGGCCCGTCATATCCCCGGGCATTTACGGCGGCCCACCGGCGGATCCCCAAGCAGGTGTTGGCCTGTGGCCCATGATTGCCTGCGCCGATGTGGGGCGGGACGACCATTGACCCAGGTAGAGATGTTGGGCGTCATTACGGTCCAGGTTTGCGACGCACACCCACGCGACAGCACCCTTGGACAGGGGGAAAAAGCCTCCAACTACCACCTGCAGGCACAACCCTTAGGGCCGGTATTTAGTCTTCACCAGTCCGCATCTAGAATAAGCGGCATCTTTCCCCTGTCCATTCACCTTGGTCGTGCTCTTGTCGTGCTCTTGTCGTTTTCTATCACCGTGATTGTCCACACTTCTCCTTTCTTTTTTCTTTCTTTCACTTTGTGCCGCCTCCACTTTTCGACCGGGCCGGGTGCTTGTCGCTCGCCATGGGAAGGCGCTCGCAGCCATCAATGGCATTTCCCGCCAAATTATAGAAACCCGACCAAGCGCGAGGAAATGGCAGGAGGAAACATGACTCTTGTAAAAAAAAAAAAAGCCAAATGCCTCTTAATCTCATTAGTGACGCGCAAGAGTTGATTAACGAGATTCCCACTGTCCCTATCTACTATCTAGCTAAACCACAGCCGGGAAAACAGGCTTTGACGCAGGTGACAGAGAAAGCTTACCCCCGCCATTCGAACCGCTCTGGACTGTATTTCGAAACCGATGCGTCCCACACTTTCCATTTATAATGATTCAGCAATTTATTCGTATCTAGACCCTAGCTAACTGATCAACCCTTAAATCAACCCTTTAGCTAAATCTTCGCAGTTCTGTAATCGCACTGCTTTGCTGGACACCAGCGAGAGGGGTGCTGGATCGGAATCCTTTCTCCGGAGCAGCGTTTCCGACTCCCAGTTGGTTTCAGCTGGCCTGTCGACCCCGCTTCCATTATACTCCGTACAACTATTTCCTCTGGGAAAAAGCGGTTGTCAGATGGCAGCAGCAACCCCGCGTTGCCCTCAAACCTTCCTGTTGATTCTGCTGATTCTACCCTGCCTTGCCTTGGCGCTTGGTATAAATAAACCAGCAACCTCTGATCTCCGCTTGAAGAAGAGAGAGAGAGAGAGAGAGAGAGAGAGAGAGAGAACCTCAAACTTCGGTTGTTACACCTTCGACCGTCTTTAATTCTTTTCACCCCTGGTAACAACATAAATACCACTCGTCATGGCCCGTGTTGAGCAACTAACGGGAACATTGCCCAGCATCGTCAGCGAAATGAGATCCCTCGTCAACAGCAGGCAAACCGCCGAGGCGCGCGCGAACTGGGGCTGGAGGCATGGAGGGCCCAGGTTCGCCGATGAGATGACAAAGCTCAAGATGGAACTAAAAGCGTAAGGCAAGCCGGTGAGTGAATTCAGTTTCCGAGGTTCGATCGAGCTGAGATTTCCTGTTCTTGCTCCTGTTTTCGGCCGGGTGCTTTCGTCTTGTCTGATGAATATATACTTATTTATTAGGTTACGACGTGCATCGCGTATCACGTCTTTAGGGAATCCAAGGTCAAGAACCCCACGGGCCGCATGATGGTGATTCCCATCGGTGGGACCATTACGATCAAAAATGGCGGCCAAGTGCTTGCCCCCGGCAATTTTTATTACATTGATGACGAAAGAATCCTGCTTGGCCAGGATATGGATATAGTTGTTGCCGCGCTGGAGAAAAAGAAATAGCGGCTGGTTGGCTGAAAGCGACACTCATTGTGCTTGTCAATGTAGTACAGATGTTACATATATCGTCCACTGTCTCTGACGTCGACTTACTCCGCCCCCTGAATTTGGCTTAGCGAGAGCGCTATTGAAGTTTTTTCTTTTTTTCTTTTGGCTAGCACGAATGGGCGCGAGTTGCTTGGGCATCATTGTGTTCGAACGATTCACTGCCCCGACCCGTAACCAGCAAAGAATCCATGCAGCCCTGTTGTTGGTTATTCGGCAGGTGATATAGTTATCTTATGAGTACGGAGTAGGTGAACATGGATAGCCTGGGCAAAGTAGAAGGACCTGCCGATCGTGGCTTCTACCATGTTCGATTTTCCTCGACCGTGAGATAGTGCCACTAATCCGTTTTGGGAAGTTAAACTGGGGCTCAAGTTTGGGGTCATCGCAGAACTCGAACGCGTCAAAACAAGAACTACGACTTTAGATTCGACGATAAGTCCCCGGTGCAGGAAGACTGAGGCTGACTATGCCCATCCAGCAGCTTCTCCTCGATTCAATACCCAGAGAGCGAAATCACATCTCATCGACTTGCATACTGGTTCTAATTTATCTTACAATAGTCTATTAAGTCGGTGTTCAGTGCCTGATATGACATATGCGCGGATGACTTCGCTTGGCCGGTCAATTGGCCAATGCAGGTGGATTTATTTCGTAGTTCTTCGCAGGGGAAGATGAGGGACGGAAATAATCCGTCCATGGATTTGCTGGAGTGGCTGTGGTTGCGAAGGGCCGGCAACCAAACCACCCGCCTGAGGCTGCGGCTGTGGTATCATTGGAACTGTGAAATCAACTAGTAAGCTATAGGCCAATAGTTAAGTCACCGCATCATAATACCTTGACCGAAATAGGTTGGTAGGATTGCAAACCCCGAGGGAGGTGGCATAGAGGATATCATCGTGAGTCTCGGATGGGAAACTGGATAGAATGAGGAATAACATCTGCCATTAGGCTCAACCAGACCGCTACTGGAATACGTTCAACCCCTGATCCTCAGCTCTCCCTGACCAGGCTAGTGTATGCGCGCCCCCACTAGATGCTGGTTTAAATTACGGTTTTCTTCATTGCAAACATGCAAACGAGCATCCTCTCTATGTTATAATCTAGAGTCTCGAATACTCCATACCGAGTCATTGGTACACACGCTGGGGCTCAGGCACCTCGACCTCATCGGCAGAAAATGTACAATGCCCCAGCTGGCCTTCAAGAGGCACCGCCCCCCACTTAAGCGGCATGAACTCAATCCCCTCCACAGGATCCAGCCGCTGGTCCTTTTCATCCAGGTTAGGGTCATACCTGGGGTGGCAAGCCGCGGCAATCGCTAGACTACAACTATCAGCAACTTGCATACCGGACGCAAACTTCATGCAGCTCAGCCCGATTAAGCACGCAAACATGAACACCCAGACCGCCATTGAGCTGACAATCGCCACAGGGGTGTATCCGCATGTGACGAGGTCGCGATCCGGCGCGCGGACGAATCGCTGGTCGTAGGCTTCGACCCCCACGAGGAAGAGGCTTTGCGAGATGAGCCAGTGCAATATTGCAGAGGTCGTCATGAGCGGGATACCGTAGCGGTATGGTAGCGATAGAAAGTAGTTGCTTCGCTGTGCGAACTGCGGATTCCTTGAGACGCGGACGCCGCGGCGGGAAATGGCGTATGTGCTCCACTCTGCGGCGAGAGTCATGGTTGTCATGACACTGTTGAAGATGAAATAGAGCGTCGAGAAGATGAGCTGCGGGATGTTGGCTATAATCGTGTTGGCGATCATCGAGGTTGGCCAGGTATCGCCTTTAATTAGGGCTTGTGCGTTGATGGAGCCGAACTCGGCGTTCCAGACTTCGTGGCCGTCTTGACTCAGCCCCAGGTACAGAAGAAAGGCGCATATGACAAGGGCTATCGCCCAGCTAATGTTAGTGGAATAGTCAGTTGTTGCTGTAAGGTAATACCAAAGGGGGGCTATGGGTCTGCTCACAGTATCACGACCAGCAGCCATTTGGCGCGGGACACTGCAGAGTACCACCTCTTTCGATTGCTCTCATAAGCCACGGGCCAATCACGCTGCCCAGGCACAGTGTATTCTGAGTTTATCTGTCGTATTTCCATTCCGGACATCAAACATCTGCCCATGGTGTGTCTGTCGGGCTGTTGCAGGAATGAGGCCACGGCGTCTCCCGTAGTAAGCATGGGCAATTCAGTTGTTGCGAGGGCCGAATAGCACAGGATAGCCGCTTTGATAGCATTAACAACAATGACGACGATCGTCAGTGGCAGGGAATACTGCAACTTGCAATGCTCTGGCAATGGCGCGCTCAGGCACGAGTCCACAGTATAGTTGCCATGATAGCCATAGACGACCCAGTTATCTTGCTCTGCGGCGGAGTACAGGCCGGGTATGTAGGTGCTGCATGAAGCGTTGGCATTTGGCGGACATAACCATTCATATGGATCGCCGCTGGGCGCGACATGAACGTAAGCGTCCCACGGATCGTACACGGACTGGAAGCCGACCATTTTGTACTCAAGCGTTGTGTTGACGTCGTCTGTAACCAGGAGCAGGTCGCCGTGCTTTGTTTGGTAAGCCGTTGCGTAGGCGCTGATGCACGCCTGTGTGTCGAGGCGAATCAGGGTGCCGTTCTGAGCATAGGAATAGAGCCGGTCGAAAGAAGCGGTATCTTCTGCGTTCAGTCCACCTGTTTCAATGTCCTCTCGTTGTTGCGTTCCGAGGGAGGAATGGCCGGCAAATATCGTATATGAGTAGGCAGCGGTGGTAGAGAAGATGGTGGAGTTGTAGCTAAATAGCGAGAGGCTATCAGCCACGCCGTCAAAAAAAAGTGTCCGCGTACTTACACGAGGTGGAGAGGAAGAGACGAGAGCATCAGGCATATCCACATGGTCGAGCGCGTCTTGGGGACGTAAAAGAGATTCCGAAGGCTTGGGACGCCAATATCCAGCCAGGTATTCTTTCCATGCACATTATCGATGTCCTTCCTCGTCGGCGCACAGAGGCATTGCTGTAGGACCGTTAGTCCAGACCATCCATGCAGAAAGCTCTCATACCATGCCATAGTTGCTCGCACCCAGGAGGATGGTGCTCATTATATTGATGAGTAAATGCAGTCCTGTACTCAGGTGCCGCACGCGGTCACAGTTGCCCTCGTAGAGGATCCCACGGTCTTCCTTCAGCCGGTCACGTGCTACAACCCATAGCAGGAAGCCAAGGTTAAAAGAGAGGACTAACAGGCAGGCAGCTGATGCTAAGGCTAATGCAAACCTCGACCCTGAGAGCCACTTGTACAGTACACCTCGCTTCAGATGGCTCCTATCGCCACGCGGGTTGTGAGGAGCGATCAAGGGCAGTTCATGTTCTTCTTGCGGAGGGTTAAACTCCGTCTCGCGTCTAAATGTCGCAACAGTTATTTCCATTGAAGGTTTGGTAACAATGAAAGTCGGTCACCGCTACAGAGCCACGAGGCGGAGATATCCTCTTCAGGTTTTATGAGGACCGCTTGAGCCGCACCTCGGGTGCCAATCGATTCCGACCCTGGAAGGTTTGGGTCGGAATGTTGCCACTTAGCAGGGGCTGTGCCTCGTATCGAGGGGGTCAAACAAGCACTATATTGGCTGAAACTTGTTACAGATGAGGGGCGTTCTGGGATCATTCGCACCCCGTTTCAGCCTCGCCAGTGCCCTCGGTGAAGTGTGGCGATCTGCTTGTCTTGCTAACCGAGGTCCCCGAACACGAATGACGATCCGGTGTGGTGGACGAAAGTATACCTGTAGCGACGCATCACGGGTTGGTGGAGACAACACCGACCGTGCGAAAAGTCATGGGATTAGAGAAAAGTTTATGTGGATCCCACGAGGCGGCTATTCGAAACAGGGAAGGCTACATAATACTTTGCGCTATTATCAGTTATATCCAATATCCAATCCAGGAAATTAATCCGCACTTCCCGGTTGTCGCATGGAATCATGATTGGAATCGAGAGGAGCAGAATTCTCTCTGATGAGAAGTTGCACTAGCGCGCGATATCGCGGAGGATTAGTCCTGGCCACTCATCAAAGGAGCTTCGAAACACCGCCCAGACGCAACCCAGCACTGAACCAGTAGAAAGATCTAATATTAGCTCTGAAGATCCTCACACTCGTCAGCTGGCGAAGCAAGATACAAAGCCAGTCCCAGCCTAAGTATAGTAGCCAATCAGGCCTGCGCTACAAAAAAGACTCGGCAAGGGTAGTTTTCCCATTGCTGGCCAATGGCGGGTGCCTGGGTGAAAACGATCCTAAACGCCCAAATACGGCGCCTTGGCGGCATCGGGCGTGTTTCAGTCTCATGCAGGCCAGGACGTGGCTTAGATGGAACCACTTAGTGCGCGAAAATCTGGAGAGATATAAGAAGTAGTTAGCGATTTGTTGCAAATCTTCTCGCGGATCATGACAAGCTGGGAGTGTGCAAGTCAGGGCGCCATAAAGGTCTTGTTGTGCTGTTACGGTGTAGTTGAAGAAAAATAGACAGCCGGGGCTGTCTATCACGTGGATACCCTGCTGGTCAATTAGATTGTGTCGACCTTTAGTGACCGCTAGTATTCCGCTTCAACGCCGAACTCACCGTTAGTCAGCGCCTGCTCGGTCATTTATCGTATCGTTTCTCTTTCCTTATTTAGTTAATTAGATTACCCCTATTTCTCTTGTATTTAGTGCAGCTTCGCTGCTAGATTCGATGAATCAGACCTTCATATTCTTCTGGCGATGGACCAAATATCACGTACGCGGTGGAGTTCGACAGATTGTCATTAACCGAAGGATCTCTTCCGAGCCCGGCGTGATAGAACGTTAAATTAGGCGATCTGGATTCTTATAAAAATACAGTATAATACTACAGTAATTCATCAATATATCTATATATGGTCCAGAACGCTGAGCATTCACGTGCCAAGCCAAGTTTCTTTGTTCATTGAGACAGAGAACTTCGTCACTCCAAAGTACGTTAAGGCATAAAGAAGAGCATTATCCCATCACCGCTTGAAATATGATTCAATCTACGTTTTTATTTCTTATTAGCATCCCAAATTCTGAGGATGGACGCCGACCTTAACACCAACTTTGAACCGTTCCAATCATCCTCGGCCCAGTCAGGCCAGTTCAGACCAGATTTTCCTCCTATTCTTCACGAGTTACCAGAAGAGCACCTTGATGATGCCGATTCTGCATATTCTGGTAGCCCTGAAGATTCGACCCAGAGCCTGTCGCCTTTGGTATTTGATCATCGCTTCGAACATGGGCGACGCTACCATGCTTTGCGTCATGGTGCATACTGTGTTTGTAGCTTTTTCCTTCAGTAAGGTGGGCGCTAGTCTGAAGTTTATACCTAACTTCTTATGCTTAGGGTTCGAATGATGATCAGGCACAAAGACTACAAAGATTAGCGCACCACACGTACAATATAACCTTCGAGAATCGTCTCTTTCTAGCACCAGTCATTAACCCACAGGTAATCAAGATTCTTGCCGTTATTTTCTAGAGGCTAATATAAATAGGCTATCTTCAATGTAGGAACAGGCACTGGGAGCTGAGCCATGTATGGGGGGGTCGCTGTACGTGTCCCGGCGCTAATATATTTTAGAGACGTTGCCGATGAATTTCCAGCTGCTCGAGTTATAGGGGTCGACCTCTTGCCCATTCAACCTACGCTTGTCCCCCCGAACTGTCAATTTGAGATAGATAACGTAACTTTGCCGTGGACGTATGATTCAGTACAATTCGACTTGATTTATATCCGCGAGATGTTCGGCTCGATACCTGATGGGATATGTTCTTTCGCCAATGCTGGAACTCTTTACGGCCAGGTGGCTACGTAGAAGTGGTTGAGCATTCGGTTACTCCAGTCCTTGACGAGGCGACCTAATCGTGCCCTCGCTACGCTTTAGGGAGAGCATAACCTCGTGGCAGCCCAGCCTCACTCGAGAAAGCGGCACTCCTTCTCTCGAGCCCGAGCCCCGAGCTCCTTATGAGACCGAGAGCGAGGACATCAGCACGGAAGAGTTCCTACCATCACCTACCCTTCGAAGATTTATACTCAGAATGTAAGCGGCGAGGTCGGATCGGTGGCGGACGCCAGTCGGTCTTCACCCGCGGCGAGGTCCTAGCAAGCAACGAGATGTCGAGCTACGAGGGATGTACGAAAGAGGAAGGAGAAGCTGTATGCTAATTGATTCAGAAACGAATCGCTGGGGATCAGGAAGACCAGCGATTCTCCATAGGTCTGTTATGTACAGCGGTGGTGGTACCAGACCAGGGGAAACCAACACAGGAGAATCTTGGGTACCGCCGGGTGGACAAAGCTGCATTGCGGCATACAGCACGATTGACGAATCGACGACTTCCTCTGTAACCAAGTAAGCAGAACGACTTGCCGAAGGTTGTTGGCAAGATGCCGACACGCGACGCGCGCGCGGGACGGGCCGAAACACGAACCCCTGAACCCCCCGACCGCGACGAACGCGAAGAATCACCACCACGGCTACGACCCAAACGAGTCACCAGACCGCCGAATAACTATGCCCGGGAACAGGAAGAGGAAGCTACAAGATATGCGTTGGGCAGTCAAACTGAACGCCGAGGGAGAGGCAGACCAAAGACCCGCAATGAAGCCGCAGCAGAGCGCGTTGACAGCTCAGAGGACGAAACAGAAACCGGCAACAGCAACCAGCAAACGACTGAACTGCTCGCAGAGTTAGTCAAGTTACGAAGAGAAATCAAGAGAAGGGATGAGACCCACAGAGAAGAATTAAGGGAAGTAAAAACTCAGTTTACGGAAGCTCTTTCTGGAATGCAACAGGAACTAGCGGAGCTGCGTAATAGTTGGCCACATCCCAAACCAACCATGACGAGACACTTCGCGAAATTCAATCCCTACGTACCTCTATAACCACCCCAGATTCTACGAACAACCTATCCTATGCGGATGTCGCCCGCACCCCTCCAACCAGTCAGCCAAGCAACATACGGACTCTTTCCTCGTTTAACACGACACCGACCACCTTCACCGATACATTATATTGCACGATAGATACCTCGAAGATGGCAGACAATGAAAACGATAGAGCGTCCGCAGGCCCAATTAGGGCAGCAGTGGAGAACGAGATCCGGGTAATGGAGAACCACACTAACTGGCGCTGTCGCGCGGTTACGGTGGACCCAAAGAACACCAACCGGATCCGAATTGCTTGCCGAGATGAAGCTGAACACCAGCTGGTTAAGAAAGCTGCAGAAGCAACAATTGGCGCAGGAGCCCGGGTGCTCCGCGACGATCTCTACCCAATCAAAGTTGACAGTGTCAAGAAAGGAGCCGTGCTAGATGAACAAGGCGAGATCAGAGCAGGAGCCGCGGCAGCCTTCAGCGAGGAGAATGACACCACCGTGGCCAAGATCGCATGGCTCAGCAGAAAGGAAAGTGCGAAGGCCTATGGGTCAATGGTGGTGTACCTGACCAAAGGCACCGATGCACGAAGGCTCCTGGCCGAGGGGTTCTTCCACGCTGGGGGAGAATCTGGCGTAACCAGCGCCTTTGAACATCGTCCACGACCGACACAATGCTATAACTGCCAAGAGATTGGACATAAGGCATTCCAATGCAAGAATACCCAGAAGTGCGCGAAATGCGCCAAGGAAGGCCACCGCCACAGCAACTGCAATGAGACGGTCCTCAAGTGCGTTCCGTGCGGAGGCCCACATGAATCGTACAGTAGAAACTGTCGGAAGCTCTATCCAGTGCAACATGAATAAAACGCTCCGAATAATTCAGCTAAATGTAAGGAAACAGGGCGCAGTGCATGACAGCTTAATGAACGACGAAGAAATTCAGGACGCAGTGGCAATGGCAATCCAAGAACCCCAAGCGAGAAGAATTAACGGCCGACTCTTGACAACTCCGATGGGACATCAAAGATGGACGAAGATGGTCCCCTCCGCATGGAGGGAAGGGAGATGGGCAATCCGGAGCATGCTGTGGGTGAGAAAGGACGTGGAAGCAGAGCAAGTACCAATTAAATCCCCGGATCTGACAGCGGCGGTCATCCGGCTCCCCGAGCGAGTGATTTTTATGGCATCAGTCTATGTGGAAGGGGGAGATGCCCAAGCCTTGCGTGACACGTGCGTTAGTCTACGCGAGGCAATTACCAAGGTAAGGCGAGATACGGGCGCAGTGGTGGAGGTTGCAATCGTGGGAGACTTCAACCGACATGACCAACTTTGGGGTGGAGACGACGTGCCTCTGGAGAGACAGGGCGAAGCGGATCCAATCATTGACTTTATGAGTGAATTTGCTCTTAGCAGTCTACTAAAACGAGGCACAAAGACATGGCAGGGGGGAGGACACGGTGGAGACTGCGAGTCAACTATTGACCTCGTCCTTGCCTCGGAGAATCTGACGGGTTCCATGGTGAAGTGTGCAATACATGGGACGGAGCACGGCTCCGACCACCGCGCAATCGAGACTGTGTTTGACGTTCCGGTTCCGGTTGCCAAACAGCAGGAGCGACTGCTGCTCAAAAACGCGCCTTGGAAGGAGATTAATGCCAGAATTACCACAAGCCTGGACAGCACGCCGTCGGACGGCACTGTGCAGCAGAGAACCGACCGACTAATGTCTGCGGTGTTGGAGGCAGTGCATGCCTTGACGCCAAAGGCCAGACCGTCCCCGTACGCAAAGAGATGGTGGACAACGGACTTGACACAACTCCGCTATATCTACACATACTGGAGAAATCACGCCCGATCGGAGCGACGGGCAGGGCAAATCGCATCACACCTAGAAGAGACAGCTAAAAGTGCTGCGAAGCAATACCACGATGCCATCCGGCAACAAAAGAAAAAGTACTGGAAGGAGTTCCTGGCAGACAACAGCAACATATGGAAGGCCGCCAAATACCTAAAGTCTGGAGATGACACAGCATTTGGGAAGGTACCACAGCTCGTCCGAGCAGATGGAACCACCACCACCGATCACAAGGAACAAGCAGAGGAGCTTCTGGCTAAATTCTTTCCTCCTCTACCAGACGATATTGAGGAGGAAGGGGCCAGACCGCAACGAGCGCCAGTCGAGATGCCTGCCATCACCATGGAGGAAGTAGAGCGGCAGCTGCTCGCAGCAAAATCATGGAAGGCACCTGGAGAAGACGGCCTACCGGCGATAGTTTGGAAGATGACCTGGCCCGCGGTTAAACACAGGGTTCTTGACCTGTTCCAGGCATCGCTGGAAGAGGGCACGCTACCAAGTCAATGGAGACATGCAAAAATCATACCACTTAAAAAGCCGAATAAAGAGGACTACACCATCGCGAAAGCCTGGAGGCCAATTTCACTTCTCGCGACACTGGGCAAGATCCTGGAGTCGGTGGTGGCAGAAAGGATCTCACACGCAGTGGAGACATACGGCCTGCTCCCAACCACTCACTTTGGAGCCCGAAAACAGCGATCAGCGGAACAGGCGCTCCTGCTCCTGCAGGAGCAAATCTACACGGCCTGGCGTGGCCGTCGGGTCCTGAGCTTGATCAGCTTCGACGTCAAAGGAGCCTACAATGGGGTGTGCAAAGAAAGACTACTACAGAGGATGAAAGCTCGAGGCATACCAGAAAGTCTGATCCGGTGGATCGAGGCCTTCTGCTCGGAACGAACAGCGACCATCCAAATCAATGGGCAAGGGTCCGAGGTACAAAGCCTCCCACAGGCAGGACTACCGCAGGGCTCTCCCCTATCGCCGATCCTGTTCCTTTTCTTTAACGCAGACCTCGTGCAACGACAGATCGACAGCCGCGGCGGAGCGATTGCTTTCGTGGATGACTTCACCGCGTGGGTGACCGGGCCAACTGCGCAGAGCAACCGGGAAGGTATTAAGGCAATTATTAATGAAGCTCTTGACTGGGAGAGGAGGAGTGGAGCGACGTTTGAAGCAGACAAAACTGCCATTATACACTTCACCCCCAAAGCACACAAATCAGAGCAGGAGCCTTTCACCATCAAGGGACAAACCGTTGAGCCTAAAGACCACGTCAAGATCCTTGGAGTGGTGATGGACACTAGACTCAAATACAAGGCACACATAGCCAGGGCAGCGTCCAAGGGCCTAGAAGCAGCGATGGAGCTCAAACGACTCAAAGGCTTATCTCCCTCAACAGCGCGGCAGTTGTTCACGTCAACTGTTGCCCCAGTGGTGGACTATGCCTCTAATGTCTGGATGCACGCTTTTAAGGATAAGGCCAGCGGGCCCATTAACCGGGTTCAACGGATTGGAGCTCAAGCAATAGTGGGAACATTCCTCACCGTCGCAACCAGTGTGGCGGAAGCAGAGGCTCACATTACCTCGGCGCAAAGCCGGTTCTGGAGACGGGCAGTGAAGATGTGGACGGACATCCACACCCTACCTGAAACCAACCCACTCCGCAGAAATACGGATCGTATCAGGAAATTCCGAAGATTCCACCGCTCCCCGTTATATCAGGTGGCAGATGTGCTGAAAAACATCGAGATGGAAACACTGGAAACCATCAATCCATTTACATTAGCACCATGGGAGGAACGACTGCAGACCGATATTGGAGGAACCTCAGAGTCACCAGCAGAAGCCGGCGGATCTATGCAGATCGCAGTCAGCAGCTCGGCACGGAATGAGGTAGTGGGATTTGGCGGAGTTATTCAGAAGCAACCGCCCAAGTACAAGAAGCCGAGACTAAAGGCCTTCTCCGTCACACTGGGCGCGAGATCAGAGCAGAACCCATACTCGGGAGAGCTGGCAGCAATGGCACACGCATTAAAGACGCTACCAGTACTGAAACTGTACAGAATCACGCTGCTGACGAGCAACAAAGCGGCTGCACTTTCCCTGGGGAACCCGCGACAACAGTCGGGCCAGGAGCACGTGTGCCTGATATACAAGCTGATCAGAAGACTGCGGAAGAACGGAAACAAGATCACGATCCGCTGGGTCTCCACAAGCGAGGAAAACAAACTGCTGGGCCTCGCTAAAGTGCAGGCCAGGGCAGCGACCCAAGAGGACCCCATGCCATACACACAGCTCCCCAGAATGAAATCAACCACTCTTAACATCGCACGATCCCAACAAGACACCAGCAAAGCCTTGCCCGAGAAAGTAGGCAAACACGTGAAAAGGGTGGACGCGGCCCTCCCAGGCAAGCACACTCGACAGCTGTATGATCGATTATCGGGGAAAGAAGCAAGCGTGCTGGCCCAGCTCCGGACGGGCATGGCAAGACTAAACGGATACCTCTACCGAATCAACGTTGCGCCAACCGATCAGAACCACGCTGCTAACGAGCAACAAAGCGGCCGCACTCACACTGGAAAACCCGCGACAACAGTCGGGCCAGGAGCACGTTTGCCTGATATACAAGTGGATCAGAAGACTGCGAAAAAATGGAAACAGGATCACAATCCGCTGGGTCTCCACTAGTGAGGATAACAAATGCAATCAACCACTCTCAATATCGCACGATCCCAACAAGGCACCAACAAAGGTCTGCCAGAGAAAGTAGGCAAACACGTGAAAAGGGTGGACGCGGCCCTCCCAGGCAAGCACACTCGACAACTGTATGATCGATTATCGGGGAAAGAAGCAAGCGTGCTGGCCCAGCTCCGGACGGGCATGGCAAGACTAAACGGATACCTCTACCGAATCAACGTTGCGCCAACCGATCAGAACCACGCTGCTAACGAGCAACAAAGCGGCCGCACTCACACTGGAAAACCCGCGACAACAGTCGGGCCAGGAGCACGTTTGCCTGATATACAAGTGGATCAGAAGACTGCGAAAAAATGGAAACAGGATCACAATCCGCTGGGTCTCCACTAGTGAGGATAACAAATGCAATCAACCACTCTCAATATCGCACGATCCCAACAAGGCACCAACAAAGGTCTGCCAGAGAAAGTAGGCAAACACGTGAAAAGGGTGGACGCGGCCCTCCCAGGCAAGCACACTCGACAACTGTATGATCGATTATCGGGGAAAGAAGCGAGCGTGCTGGCCCAGCTCCGGACGGGCATGGCAAGACTAAACGGCTACCTCTACCGAATCAACGTTGCGCAAACGGATCAGTGTGAATGTGGACAGGCAAGAGAGACGGCAGAGCACTTTCTCTTTCGATGTCAGAGATGGACGGCTCATCGGACAGAAATGCTACAATGTACCAACACCCACCGAGGCAACATATCCTTCTTTTTGGGCGGTAAATCGCCCTCAGATAATCAAGACTGGTCACCAAACTTAGAAGCGGTACGGGCGTCAATACGATTCGCAATCGCTACCGGCCGACTCGACGTCGCTTAACCATATCGTTGAACACAAATCACCCACCCTTCCCGAACTAACTCACACCAACCACCTCGTGCCAGACATGGTAGACGCGCTTCAACTGCCGAAGAAGGGATGTTGAACACTTGGAGAAGCGCCTTCAAGCCAGCCTACTAACAAAACTACTAACCCACGAGAATCTCCTACAATACTGATAGACGGCACGACATATGCTAAACGTGAATCTGTACGGGCTAGAAGGAGACATGGCACCCGATAGGAAATGTACTAGTAGATTAGCGATAGTTGCCCTTTCAGCTCAGCCGCCGGGCGTTAATAAATTGTTTGTTTGTTTGTTTGTATATGATCTGACTCGTTTCTCAAGAAAGGAAGTGGGTAAAACGGTGATACCAGTTCTGGTCGGCCGCTAAATCATCTATGCAGAGCGACGGATATCCGTGGAAGACCATGGAACCCCACAACACTCAAAGATACAGTGTTTCAATGTGATTGGCTAACAGCAGTCGAGCCATTCACGTGCTGGCATGCAACTAATACGGAACCGACCGCCTAACCCAACGACCAGCAACACCTCCAGCTCGTACAAATCGGACTGAGAGCAAAAGATCACTTCAACAATGGGATGCGAATGTTGCGGCCCATCGGCATCTACCACCGAGCCTCATGTTTTGCCAATTTCTCAAAGTAGGGAGATGAGCAGTTGCCAGGACACTTGCTGCGATAGCGACGGCGCTGAGCCTCTCAACACCACGGCGCCGGGTCAGGGAGAACCCACCCTGGAGAACCTAGATGATGGCTGCCCCGCGGATGAGCTCATGGACAATGAACTCAATGATACGAACACGCCTGACTGTTGCCGTGGCAAAGCCGACCCATGCTGCGACACGTCTTGCCTTGACCGCTTAGCTTTGCGGGAATGCGAGATGAGTGCCGGGGCAGTCCACGACACCAACAGTCAACCAACCAGTAAGTAGCCCCTCTTTGAGAATGGCTTCTAAAAGGTTGCTAACCCGCTCAGCTTGCGGTAGAGCTGCCGACCCCAAGGCATGCAGCCAGCATAGTCTCTCTGTCCTCGACCGCTATGGCGCTACTCTACAAGCTCTGGGATGTATCTGCCGCACGATCATCGCTCTTGGCCAGGAAAGTTGCTGTGAATTGCGCGAGCGCTATTCCCTGGATGGGAATCAGTGCTCCAAAAAGTCATCTATTCACTCCATTCGCAGTTCACTGGATTCCTACATTAGTAACGACTCCGTCACTAAGGACCGGGCGGCTCAGAAGCGTCTTCGCCTGCGAAGGGACGCTGTTAAAAGCGCCAGGTCTATCAAGAAGCCGTCCGCGGATTCTCATGTTGTCTCTTCTTGTTCGAAGGACAAGCCCATTAAAGAGCCGCCCTTCAAAAGTAAGTGCTCGAAGCTGTGCTGTTCTGGAGGCAAACTTGACAAGGAACCTCGGCCGAAGAGTAAATACGCCGACCCTTGGTGCACGGACGACATGTATCTAAAAGCAAGCCTAACAGAGACCCAGTGCTCCTCTTCTTACCGCTCTGAAGACCCGCCCGCTACATCTCCATCCGACGAGGACAACTTTGCCAAATGTTGCTACTCCGGAAAGTCCGAGAAGCAGCCTGATGCCCAGACTGGGAGCCTTGATTCTCGCTGCTCGGAGACTTCCCATGTCAGAGAATCGCCTTACAAGGAAGGCTGTCTCGGATCTTGTTGCCCCAGAGAACAGAGTGTCAAAGACGCCAAGAGCACTTATGGGGATTCGTGCTGTTCAAAGGTCAACCCCGTTGTTGAGCCCCCTACTGGTGGGTCTGCTGGATCTTGTTGCAGAGCAGCTAAGAATCCGATCATCCAAAAGCCGCCCAAAGGTGCCTTCTCTGGCTCTTGCTGCAATTCACCGACGCATGGTATCGTGAAGACTCCAAAGATCAACTCCGCGGACTCTTGCTGTGCGGAAGGACAGCCGGTCAGCCCTCAAGACTATTGCACCGATGCTTGCTGCTTCTCTGCTGCCCCCAGCCCTAGTTTAGAGATTAAGGAAACTCCGATTCAGGCTATCACCGACTTAGAGAATCAAGGTACCGGCAAGGAACATGTTGTTCTCAGTATTTCTGGTATGACCTGTACTGGTTGCGAGACAAAACTCAACCGAACCCTCGCTACTGTTCCCGCAGTCAAAGACCTGAAAACCAGTCTGGTTCTTTCAAGAGCCGAGTTTAACGTCGATCTTTGCCTTGGCTCAGTAGAGGAAGTCATGAAACATCTGGAACGAACGACTGAATTTAAGTGCGAAAGAGTCCAGAACCATGGATCTAGCCTAGACCTTATCGTCCCTGATGGGCCCTCGAAATTAATTAGTCAGACATGGCATGACGGAGTTATTGACATAACGCCAGTGGACAAACAGATCGTGCGAGTAGCGTTTGACCCGAAGATCGTGGGCGCTCGAGACCTTACCGAGAAGATTTGGGGCCCGCAAATTGAACTTGCTCCTCCGCGCGGTGACCCTTCGCTAGAAGTTGGCAGCAAGCATGTTCGACATGTTGGTTACATGACACTTCTCTCCGTTGTCTTGAAGATCCCGGTCCTGGTAATGGCATGGGCTCCGCTTCCTGAGAGGGAGGTGGCATATTCCTCGGCTTCGCTCACCCTGGCCACTGTTGTTCAAGTTGTCATAGCAGGACCTTTCTATCCCAAGGCCCTGAAGGCTCTCGTTTTCTCGAGGGTAATCGAGATGGACCTCTTGATCGTCTTGAGCACTAGTGCTGCCTACATCTTCTCGGTGGTCTCCTTTGGGTACCTCATTGCAAAGAAACCCCTTTCGACTGGTCAATTCTTCGAAACCAGCACTCTCTTGGTTACCTTGATTATGGTTGGTCGATGGGTGGCCGCTCTTGCTCGTCAGAGAGCTGTTGAATCCATTTCTATCCGGTCACTCCAGGCATCGACAGCTATCCTTGTCGACAAAGAGAGCGGAGCAGAACGGGAGATTGACGCCCGACTTCTTCAATACGGTGACACCTTCAAAGTTCTCCCTGACATCAGAATCCCGACAGACGGCATTGTCATCAATGGGTCGTCTGAGGTTGACGAATCAATGCTTACAGGTGAATCTAGACCAGTGGAGAAATACCCAAAGTCTGTGGTGATTGCTGGGTCAATCAATGGTTCTGGAGTAATGACTGTTCAACTGAACCGTTTGCCTAGCGATAATACTATTAATGCTATCGCTGCGATGGTTGATGAGGCTAAACTGTCTAAACCCAAGCTGCAGGATCTCGCAGACCGGGTAGCATACTACTTCGTCCCGGTTGTGGTGGCATTGACGACCATCACGTTCGTCATCTGGATTGCAGTGGGCGTGACTATTCGTGGACATAATGGGTCCGAAGCTACAATTCAGGCTATCACCTACGCTATTACTGTCCTCATCGTCTCTTGTCCTTGCGCTATTGGACTGGCCGTTCCTATGGTAATTGTGGTTGCTAGCGGAGTCGCAGCGGAAAGAGGTATCATCTTCAAGTCTGCAGATGCTATTGAAGTGGCTCATAAGACGTCGCACGTCGTGTTTGATAAGACTGGGACTTTGACTCGGGGAAAGCTATCTGTCGTCGCGAAGGATTGCGTCGACGAGGACAAGCTCCCGCTTCTTCTGGGCCTCATTGAACATAGTCGACACCCAGTCTCAGTTTCTGTGGCTGCTTACCTCAAGCAGACTGGAGTTATGGCTTCAACTGTTCCTGAACCCAAGAGCCTTACTGGTAAAGGTGTCGAAACCATCCTGGGCGGTCAGAGGCTTCGAGCAGGCAATTCTCGCTGGTTGAACTTATCAGATCATGAGCTTGTGCAACCAATGCTCGCCAAGGATACACTGTCTTCTGCTTTACTATCGACAATGCGTTACATGCGGTGTATGCTCTTGAAGATGAGCTCCGACCTGACGCTGCGGTGACGATTGAGACCTTGCAGAACCGTGGCGTCTCGGTACACGTGGTTTCTGGCGACGATGACGGAGCTGTTCAGACTTTAGCGTCCAAACTTAGCATTCCTGGCGACCATGTTCGTTCTCGAAGCTCGCCGGCCGACAAGAGGGATTACATTCAGACGCTCCTTGGTACTGGTGGAGACCGCAAGAAACCGGTTGTTGTTTTCTGCGGCGATGGCACGAACGATGCCGTTGCTCTCGCGCAGGCTACGATCGGCGTCCACATGAATGAAGGAACGGATGTCGCGCAATACGCCACGGATGTGGTTCTCATGCGGCCTTCTCTGGCTGGCATCCCCACCATGATGGACTCCAGTAGAAAATCAGTCAAACGCATCAAGTTCAATTTTACATGGAGCTTAGTGTACAACACCTTTGCAGTCCTTCTCGCTGCGGGTGCATTTGTCAATGCAAGAATTCCTCCACAGTTTGCGGGACTAGGAGAGTTGGTGAGTGTGTTGCCAGTCATTGCTGCTGCGTTGCTTCTACGCTGGCCGAAGACCTAAGAGCAGACAAAAAAATTGGTCCGAACTCTTGTAGTCAGATTGCCGCCGATAAAGAGCTACTACACCTTGCCCACCTTTCCGTCAAAGATTACCTTCTAGGCGAGAAACATTTCGATATTAGGACAGCCAGCATTTCAATTACAAGGACGTGTCTAACTTATCTTACGGGCATCAGCGGTAGCCATAGAGAGCTCCAGCAGGATTTTCCAATGGCAAGATACGCGACGGAAGTTTGGACAGGCCATGCTGCGTTGGCGCAAGCTTCCGAAGATATACTGCAAATGACAGTCAGCTTTCTAGAAAATGAATCGACCTTCTTACGATGGGCCCGTTTATATCAGGCTGATAGGAGTTGGGCAACTGACCCTGGTCCTCCACGAGGTTCTAGACTCTATTATGCTTGCTTTGCAGGGCTCGTGGGGACTGCACGAGATCTTATCGACAGTGGCGAGGACGTCAATGCCCAAGGCGGCGAATATGGCAATGCTCTCCAGGCCGCCTCAACAAAAGGACATCAAGAGATTGTTCAACTACTCTTGGATAAGGGAGCAGATATCCACGCGCAGGGTGGCGATATGGGAATGCTCTACAGGCAGCGTCAGCAGAAGGCCATCAAGAAATTGTTAGACTACTCTTAGAAGAGGGAACAGATATCCACGCGTAGGGGAGTGAATAATGCAATGCTCTCCAAGCTTAGTACGAGTGCGATGCTGAACCGCTGCGTAACGACTTCAACCAGATTTTCGGCTTCACTACTATCCTGAGCCAACATATGCTCCTGCTCGCCGTTGTCGCTGGGCTGTAGCACTCAGTTGTGGAGGTGGGGACCTGAAATAATCGGGGACTCTGAACGTGATGCAGGCAATTCTCAAAGGTCGTGGAAAGTCGCATTTGGGCCGCCACGCAGGTCCAGTGATCTGACCTGTTCAGATCCGACTAGCCAAAAGTGGCCTTCTCAGCAGGTCTGCATCACGTGCAAGTACTGCAAACTCAACAAACAGCTTAGCCTTAATCAATCCATGAGCGTCAGTTCAGTTCACCCGCGATCCCCTTTGATTGTCCCAGGAAAACCGGTCTGTCCGCCGCATTTAGTACACAATGAAACCCCACAGAGCAATTTGATTGATCCGCAGAACGGGCTTGTGAATTCTGTGGAGCTCGAGTCCACATCTTGCTCGCTCCTTACCAATATGAACCGGACTGTCCGTAAGGTTAGCTCACGGACAACCTCCACAGAGTGGTTTGTTGGTCCCGCTGAGCGGTTTCTTGAATTCCATGGAACCTTACTCTCACAACTTGCTAGCTCCTTTGCTCCAACTGTCAAGAGCGCAGACGGTTCTCAAATTTCGCGAGAGGTCGTGTTTGGCTGCCCGCCCCCGCAGGTCTCATGATGTGACCCGCTCGAATCCGACTGGCCTTTGCACCAGCGAATCACGTGTCGAAAACTGCAAACACAACAAACAGCTCAGCCTAAATCCGTTCAAGCGATCCTCTAACGATCGCGGGCGTCACGAAATACCCACCACCGATCCACCTCAGTTGTGGATGACAAAAGACTTTGCTATCCTACACGATGCCCAGAGGTCAAGGTGGATTTAAATTTGCATAAAGGACTTGGTTTCGTAGGAATCAGCCAGTCTGTTGACAAAATGGTGGCACTTCGGAACAGGGAAGGAAACTATTGTAGACTCCGAGCAATGAAATGTGCCAGTTTAGCCAAACAACCATTCCCACTGAGGAGAGAGGAACAGAGCGAGACATCTTCAGCATGCTGATAGAGTGCAGAAAGTTTTGCAGACGTGTAATCGCAGTTAGGACACATGTAAGACCACTCTTCGCCCTCGAAGCCAGTATTTATATACTTCCCACTCTGGTAACACTGGCGGGCTAGATCATCAATCTCCTCCTCGGTAACCTCTGACACACATTTCCCGGATTCAAGATGAATTAAAATCCCGGAGATTGTTTTGAAGCACCGATAACAACCGTAGCATTCCATATTTCGAGGCTGATGCTTCTGTTGGTGCTAAAGCGAGAGTATTATTAGCCGAACCATTTATGCTTTTTTTTGACAATAGTTGAGTTGGAATTTCACCATTTGTAAATTATTCTTGTTCGCAAAGTAATCACCACATGTCATACAGAGGTGGTGTTGAGCAATATCGTGTTCTTGAAGTTTTTCGAAAGAGTTATAATAAAGCTTGCAATCTGGACAAAAGTAATGAGACTCCTCCAAGTGATTTTGAAGCTCTAGAGAACTCTCAAAATCCTGTGTGTCGGGACACTTCGGACAGATATGATGCTTGTTGGAATCTTGTAGATGAGAATTTCTGGCTTGGGTCGAAACGAACACCCGGCGGCACCTTGCGCACCACGAATGTCGCGATGTACTTTCGCAATGTGCATACAGAGCCGTTTCAGAACTGAAAATCCTTTCGCAAATAGTACATTCATAGTTCACGCCATCAAAGGCAAGATACGGGCCTAGGTCCATCTTTGATTCTGATGACTCTGGCTGCAAAATAGCACCACCAAGTGAGGATGTCAGCTTCCAGCCGTTGATGGAGGTGTCCGACATTGCCCCGCCCTCCAAATAGCACCCGATGGATGTTGGGCGTCAGCAATTTTAGCGCCGCAGTAGTATACGGTAGGATCTTATTGGCCTGATATCAGGTGATTTGCGCGTGACTGGGTCTTTTTGAAATAGTGAGAGAATTGATGTGTGGTGAATTGGGTTTTTAGCCTCCTGAATTCTGGTTTTAGTCTCATATGTCTGAGATCGAAAGGTTGATGGGATACATGGTAGGGAGTTGGCACTAGGTCTGATAGAAGTAGGGAACAAGCAAGAGATTCTCCTATAGTGCTGTAGATGAATGTACATGCGACCTGATCTGGGAAACATCGGCGTCCGATTCCTGTTAATAGAGACAGATGGCAAGGTTGCAGCTGAGAAGTAGGTTATAGATCGTGTTATGTANAACCACACTAACTGGCGCTGTCGCGCGGTTACGGTGGACCCAAAGAACACCAACCGGATCCGAATTGCTTGCCGAGATGAAGCTGAACACCAGCTGGTTAAGAAAGCTGCAGAAGCAACAATTGGCGCAGGAGCCCGGGTGCTCCGCGACGATCTCTACCCAATCAAAGTTGACAGTGTCAAGAAAGGAGCCGTGCTAGATGAACAAGGCGAGATCAGAGCAGGAGCCGCGGCAGCCTTCAGCGAGGAGAATGACACCACCGTGGCCAAGATCGCATGGCTCAGCAGAAAGGAAAGTGCGAAGGCCTATGGGTCAATGGTGGTGTACCTGACCAAAGGCACCGATGCACGAAGGCTCCTGGCCGAGGGGTTCTTCCACGCTGGGGGAGAATCTGGCGTAACCAGCGCCTTTGAACATCGACCGCGACCAACACAATGCTACAACTGCCAAGAGATCGGACATAAGGCATTCCAATGCAAAAACACCCAGAAGTGCGCGAAATGCACCAAGGAAGGCCACCGCCACAGCATCTGCAACGAGACGGTCCTAAAGTGCGTTCCGTGCGGAGGCCCACATGAATCGTACAGCAGAAACTGTCAGAAGCTCTATCCAGTGCAAAATGAATAAAAGGCTCCGAATAATTCAGCTAAATGTAAGGAAACAGGGAGCAGTGCATGACAGCTTGATAAACAACGAAGAAATCCAGGATGCAGCGGCAATAGCAATCTAAGAACCCCAAGCGAGAAGAATTAACGGCCGACTCTTGACAACTCCGATGGGACATCAAAAATGGACGAAGATGGTCCCCTCCGCATGAAGGGAAGGCAGATGGGCAATCCGGAGCATGCTGTGGGTGAGGAAGGACGTGGAAGCGGAGCAGGTGCCAATAGAATCCCCGGATCTGACAGCAGCGGTCATCCGGCTCCCCAAGCAATGGATTTTTATGGCATCAGTCTATGTGAAAGGGGGAGATGCCCAAGCCTTGCGTGACACGTGCAGTAGCCTACGCAAGGCAATCACCAAGGTAAGGCGAGATACGGGCGCAGAGGTGGAGGTTGCGATCGTGGGAGACTTCAACCGACATGACCAACTTTGGGGAGGAGACGACGTGTCTTTGGAGAGACAGGGCGAAGCGGATCCACTCATTGACCTCATGAATGAATTTGCTCTCAGCAGTCTACTGAAACGAGGCACAAAGACATGGCAGGGTGGAGGACAGGGGGGAGACTACGAGTCAACTATCGACCTCGTCCTTGCCTCGGAGAATCTGACGGGTTCCATGGTCAAGTGCGCAGTACATGGGACAGAGCACGGCTCCGACCATCGCGCAATCAAGACCGTGTTTGACGTTCCGGTTCCGGGTTCCAAACAGCAGGAGCGACTGCTGTTCAAAAATGCACCATGGAAGGATATTAATGCAAGAATTGCAGGAAGCCTGAACAGCACTCCGTCGGACGGTACGGTGTAGCAGAGAACCAACCGACTAATGGCCGCGGTGTTGGAGGCGGTGCATGCCTTGACGCCAAAGGCGAGACCGTCACCATACGCAAAGAGGTGGTGGACCACGGACTTGACATAACTCCGCTATATCTACACATACTGGAGAAATCACGCCCGCTCGGAGCGACGAGCAGGACGAATCGCATCACACCTAGAAGAGACAGCTAAAAGCGCAGCGAAGCAATACTATGATGCCATCCGTCAACAAAAGAAGAACCACTGGAAGGAGTTCCTTGCAGACAACAACAATATATGGAAGGCCGCCAAGTACCTGAAGATTGGAGACGATACAGCATTTGGGAAGGTACCACAGCTCGTCCGAGCAAATGGTACCACCACCGCCGATCATAAGGAACAAGCAGAAGAGCTACTGGCTATATTCTTTCCTCCTCTACCAAACGACATTGAGGAGGAAGGAGCCAGGCCACAAAGGGCAACAGTGGATATGCCTGCCATCACCATGGAGGAAGTAGACCGACAACTGTTCAAAGCAAAATCATGGGAGGCACCTGGAGAAGATGGCCTACCGGCGATAGTTTCGAAGATGACCTGGCCCGCGGTCAAACACAGGGTTCTTGACCTGTTCCAGGCGTCGTTGGAAGAGGGCACACTACCAAGTCAGTGGAGACATGCAAAAATCATACCACTCAAGAAGCCAAATAAAGAGGACTACACCATTGCGAAAGCTTGGCGGCTAATTTCACTTCTCGCGACACTGGGCAAGGTCCTACAATCAGTGGTGGCAGAAAGGATCTCACACGCAGTGGAGACATACGGCCTGCTCCCAACCAGTCACTTTGGAGCCCGTAAACAGTGATCAGCGGAACAGGCACTCCTGCTCCTGCAGGAGCAAATCTACACAGCCTGGCGTGGCCGACGGGTCGTGAGCTTGATTAGCTTTGATGTCAAAGGAGCCTACAATGGGGTCTGCAAAGAACGACTACTCCAGAGGATGAAAGCGCGAGGCATACCAGAAGTGCTGCTCCGGTGGGTCGAGGCCTTCTGCTCAGAGCGAACAGCAACAATCCAAATCAATGGGCAAGGGTCTGAGGTACAAAGCCTCCCACAGGCCGGACTACCGCAGGGCTCTCCCCTATCGCCGATCCTGTTCCTCTTCTTCAACGCAGCTCGTGCAACGACAGATCGACAGCCGCGGCGGAGCGATTGCTTTCGTGGACGACTTCACCGCGTGGGTGACCGGGCCAACTGCGCGGAGCAACCGGGAAGGTATTAAGGAAATCATTGATGAAGCACTCGACTGGGAGAGGAGAAGTGGAGCAACATTCGAAGCAGAGAAAACGGCCATCATACACTTCACCCCCAAAGCACACAAATCAAAACAAGAGCCCTTCACCATCAAGGGACAAGCAGTTGAACCCAAGGACCACGTCAAGATCCTTGGGGTAGTGATGGACTCTAGACTTAAATACAAGGCTCACATAGCCAGGGCAGCGTCCAAGGGCCTAGAAGCAGCAATGGAGCTTAAACGACTTAGAGGCTTATCCCCATCTACCGCGCGGCAGTTGTTCACATCAACTGTTGCCCCGGTGGTGGACTACGCCTCTAACGTCTGGAGGCACGCTTTCAAAGATAAGGCCACCGGGCCCATTAACCGGGTCCAACGGGTTGGAGCTCAAGCAATTGTGGGAACGTTCCTCACCGTCGCAACCAGTGTGGCGGAAGCAGAGGCTCACATCGCCTCGGCGCAAAGCCGGTTCTGGAGACGGGCAGTGAAGATGTGGACGGACATCCACACCCTACCGGAAACCAACCCACTCCGCAGGAATACAGATCGTATCAGGAAATTCCGAAGATTCCACCGCTCGCCGTTATACCAGGTGGCAGACGTGCTGAAAAATATCGAGATGGAAACACTAGAAACTATTAATCCATTTACATTAGCACCATGGGAGGAACGACTGCAGACCGATATTGGACAAGCCCCAGAGTCACAGGCAGAAGCTGGCGGATCCATGCAGATCGCAGTCAGCAGCTCGGCACGGAATGAGGTAGTGGGATTTAGCGGAGTGATTCAAAAGCAGCCGCCCAAGTACAAGAAGCCAAGACTAAAGACCTTCTCCATCACACTTGGCGCAAGATCGGAGCAGAAGCCATACTCGGGAGAGCTGGCAGCAATGGCACACACATTGAAGACGCTACCAGTACTGAAATCGTACAGAATCACGCTGCTAACGAGCAACAAAGCGGCCGCACTCACACTGGGGAACCCGCGACAACAGTCGGGCCAGGAGCACGTTTGCCTGATATACAAGCTGATCAGAAGACTGCGAAAAAATGGAAACAGGATCACAATCCGCTGGGTCTCCACGAGTGAGGATAACAAACTGTTGGGCCTCGCTAAAGTGCAAGCCAGGGCAGCGACCCAAGAGGGCCCCGTGCCATACATACAGCTCCCCAGAATGAAATCAACCACTCTCAATATCGCACGATCCCAGCGAGGCACCACCGGCAAAGGCTTGCCAGAGAAAGTGGGCAAACACGTGAAAAGAGTGGCCGCGGCCCTCCCAGGCAAGCACACACGACAGCTGTATGACCGATTATCGTGGAAAGAAGCGAGCGTGCTGGCCCAGCTCCGGACGGGCATGGCAAGATTAAACGGATACCTCTACCCAAATCAACGTTGCGCAGATCGATCAGTGTGAATGTGGACAAGCAAGAGAGACGGTGGAGCACTTTCTCTTTCGATGTCAGAGATGGACGACACATTGGACAGAAATGCTGCAATGCACCAATACCCACCGGGGCAACATATCCTTCTTCCTGGGCGGAAAATCGCCCTCAGATAATCAAGACTGGACTCCAAACTTAGAATCAGTACGAGCGTCAATACGGTTTGCAATCGCCACTGGCCGACTCGACGTCGCTTAACCATATCGTTGAACACAATCACCCACCCTTCCCGAACTAACTCACACCAACCACCTCGTGCCAGACATGGTAGACGCGCTTCAACTGCCGAAGATAGGATGTTGAACACTTGGAGAAACGCCTTCAAGCCAGCCTACTAACGAAACTACTAACCCACGAGAATCTCCTACAATACTGATAGACGGCACGACATATGCTAAAAGTGAAATTGCATGGGCTAGAAGGAGACATGGCACCCGATAGGAAATGTACTAGTAGATTAGTGATAGTTGCCCTTTCAGCTCAGCCGCCGGGCGTTAATAAATTGTTTGTTTATTTGTTTGTACCCGCGTCGAGCTTCGTTCATAAATCACCAAGTGGGCCGAGTCATCAGAGAGCAAATACATATTCTGGTTAAATGGCATGGCGGGAACAGGCAAATCCACCATTGCTCGGGCAGTACTCATTCCACCTGAGTATCATCAATATAATTGCTCAGCTGTTAAGGGTACTATAATGGTTCTTGGGTATCCTGATGGACGACTTCTCGTTATAGGATTCATGAACCATAGACTCAGTCCCTGCTGTACCTAAACTACTTACTGTTATTCACTAATCTCTTCACAACGAGGACGGATAGTGGAACCTAACATTGCGATTTGCTGCTAAAGTATTTTCGAGCAATTGATGCGTGCTTCTATTGTCACTATATATCTTTGCTAGCCTCTAATATTAACATGTATGTCCAGTACAGTGATATCAAGTCAATATTATTGTTCCGTACGAGCCGAAACATAGCTGAGTGTGATTTTGGATTAGGGCTAGAGAAATAAAGAAAGAGTGTATAACACCAACGCCGATTTTCGGAAACCCTGTATATGATCTGATTCGTCTCTCAAGAAAGAAAGTGGGTAAAACGGTGATACCAGTTCTGGTCGGCCGCTAAATCATCTATGCAGAGCGACGGATATCCGTGGAAGACCATGGAACCCCACAACACTCAAAGATACAGTGTTTCAATGTGATTGGCTAACAGCAGTCGAGCCATTCACGTGCTGGCATGCAACTAATACGGAACCGACCGCCTAACCCAACGACCAGCAACACCTCCAGCTCGTACAAATCGGACTGAGAGCAAAAGATCACTTCAACAATGGGATGCGAATGTTGCGGCCCATCGGCATCTACCACCGAGCCTCATGTTTTGCCAATTTCTCAAAGTAGGGAGATGAGCAGTTGCCAGGACACTTGCTGCGATAGCGACGGCGCTGAGCCTCTCAACACCACGGCGCCGGGTCAGGGAGAACCCACCCTGGAGAACCTAGATGATGGCTGCCCCGCGGGTGAGCTCATGGACAATGAACTCAATGATACGAACACGCCTGACTGTTGCCGTGGCAAAGCCGACCCATGCTGCGACACGTCTTGCCTTGACCGCTTAGCTTTGCGGGAATGCGAGATGAGTGCCGGGGCAGTCCACGACACCAACAGTCAACCAACCAGTAAGTAGCCCCTCTTTGAGAATGGCTTCTAAAAGGTTGCTAACCCGCTCAGCTTGCGGTAGAGCTGCCGACCCCAAGGCATGCAGCCAGCATAGTCTCTCTGTCCTCGACCGCTATGGCGCTACTCTACAAGCTCTGGGATGTATCTGCCGCACGATCATCGCTCTTGGCCAGGAAAGTTGCTGTGAATTGCGCGAGCGCTATTCCCTGGATGGGAATCAGTGCTCCAAAAAGTCATCTGTTCACTCCCTTCGCAGTTCACTGGATTCCTACATTAGTAACGACTCCGTCACTAAGGACCGGGCGGCTCAGAAGCGTCTTCGCCTGCGAAGGGACGCTGTTAAAAGCGCCAGGTCTATCAAGAAGCCGTCCGCGGATTCTCATGTTGTCTCTTCTTGTTCGAAGGACAAGCCCATTAAAGAGCCGCCCTTCAAAAGTAAGTGCTCGAAGCTGTGCTGTTCTGGAGGCAAACTTGGCAAGGAACCTCGGCCGAAGAGTAAATACGCCGACCCTTGGTGCACGGACGACATGTATCTAAAAGCAAGCCTAACAGAGACCCAGTGCTCCTCTTCTTACCGCTCTGAAGACCCGCCCGCTACATCTCCATCCGACGAGGACAACTTTGCCAAATGTTGCTACTCCGGAAAGTCCGAGAAGCAGCCTGCTGCCCAGACTGGGAGCCTTGATTCTCGCTGCTCGGAGACTTCCCATGTCAGAGAATCGCCTTTCAAGGCCGGCTGTCTCGGATCTTGTTGCCCCAGAGAACAGAGTGTCAAAGACGCCAAGAGCACTTATGGGGATTCGTGCTGTTCAAAGGTCAACCCCGTTGTTGAGCCCCCTACTGGTGGGTCTGCTGGATCTTGTTGCAGAGCAGCTAAGAATCCGATCATCCAAAAGCCGCCCAAAGGTGCCTTCTCTGGCTCTTGCTGCAATTCACCGACGCATGGTATCGTGAAGACTCCAAAGATCAACTCCGCGGACTCTTGCTGTGCGGAAGGAC